GAATTTGTATGTAACTTACTTAAACCAGAGTGATTTTTTTATCATTCTTTACATATTTTTTCATCAATATATTTAGTTTTTTTTTTTTTTTTNTATTTAAGTTTTTTTTTTTAAATGAATAAGTGCATAACTTAATTTGGATGAATTTTTTTTGTTTTCTTTACATATTTTTTAATAAATGTACTGGGTGTTCCAAAATGGCCGCCCTCTATAGATTTAAATTAGTATATATTTTAATTAAACCGGAAAGATTTTTTTTGTTGCTTTCTTTAATTTGTTTTTATTCAATATACAGGGTGTTGTGAACTGAATTAGTATCTTAATTTATTTTATCCAGGCTGAATGTTTTGCTTTCTTCACATATTTTTTAAAAAATATATATGTTTCCAAATGCCGTTCTTTGTAAATTTTAATTTGTATTTAACTTATTTAATTCAGGAAAAAATTTCTTTGCTTTCTTTGGATATTTTTTTTATCAATAAACTTGGTGTTTTGAAATTACTGCCCTTTACAGATTTAAATTAATATATAATTTACTTAATGCAGAAATATATTTTATTCTTAATTTAAATTCTTTTTAATCAGTATACTGGATGTTTCAAAATGAATTAGTATGTGACTTATTTTAACCTAGATGAATTGTTTGCTTACTTTACATACTTTTTAATGAATATACAGGTTTCAAAATGACCACTCTTTTTATAAACTTAAATTAGTATATGACTTCTTTTATCTAGGGGGATTTTTTTTAGTTTTCTTTTCATTTTTATAATCAATATATAGGGTGTTCCGAAATAACCGCTTATTTCATACAGAAGTGAATTTTTTTAATCATTATTCATCTTTCTGAAATGACAACTGATTCTAAATTATATGTAAGTTTTTAGAATTTCTGTTAAAAACAAAGTCAAATAAATACTATTATGTAGGTTTGCAAATTAGCTAAATAAGTAAAAAGAAAAATGAAATGACCAATTACTGTCAACATCAATAAAAACAAAGTAAGGATTATAAACAACAAAAAACTAGCATATTTTAGGATGAATTGAGTCATTTTTGCAAAAATTTTTAAAAAATAATTAAATTTAAGTCAGTATGGATCTCTTGATGGGGGTTATTATTGTTTCTTAGCATAATCTAATGATTACATTAACATTATTTTTATTTCTAATTATTACCGTAACATTATTACAGTACTTCTTCAACGTCAAAAACATTGAAATAATGTCTAGGTGAAAGAAAATAATTTCTTCAAATTGGAATGTTTTTAAATGATGTCACACTTTTTTTTCAATAATTTTGACTTCCTTCTCTACCTTAGTCACTAAGTGTCATATTTCTCCATGCCCTCTACCATCCCCTTGTAATGTTACCCAAGTCATGTTATATTACATAAATACATATTTTCAGTTCGGTAACAAAGTACAAACTAGTTTTTTATTTTTAAACTTAAATTACGTATTTTAAGGAAAATAATGAACAGTAATGATGATTGTATGTGTATTTATTTTATCTGAAATAGAATTAATGGTTCCAGCAGAAAATTTTATTAATATATAATAATAATAATAATAATAATATAAATAGCAATTGTAAATTGTAGCATTTTGGAATCAGATTTTGCTTTAATCTCACCTTTATTTTATCAACGCATGCACTTTGAAACAGATTGAAGTTAAAAAAAAGAAAATCAAAACATTGTAACTATAATTTTACTTAATTAAATTGCTATCTTATTTCATTTGACACATTAATTTATGTACAAAACTATAAACCCCTCAGAAAATATGCTTTTAAATTTAAACTTTTAACTAAGACTTAATTTAAAACCTTTATTAGAATTGATCTTTTTCTATACAAAATTAAATCTATGACAGTACGAAGCAAAATCATTTGAAGTGAACAGAATTTATATTGTTTTAAAATAAATATAAAATGAAAAATATGTATGCATGTATAAAAATAATTGATGTACTGATTTTAAATGTTTTAATTTTAATCAAAATCTGCTATCTCACACTTTTTGTTATTCCCTTTCTTCCCTTTAAATGTGACATCATCTGTGTTATTGCCCAGTTCAATTTTTTTTCATTTTATATGTTTTTGTAAAACCTCCTCGGCTCTACAGTACATAAAGAACCTTGATCTCCTTATTTGTAAAACTAGTTAACTGAATTAGTTATAGAGCAAAACATTTTTAAATGTTTTAGTTATTAGAAAATATTATAGTTTATTTAGATTCACTACCATTTTTATTTTATTTGAACAGTCTTGTGATTGTACCTTGAAACAATGAACTATGATATACCTTGGAACATGTTCCAAGATACAGCATAGGAGAGAGTAGGGTAAAATAGTGTACCTTGATTTTGGCTAAATTGGTTCTGTTTTCTATTTCGCAAACTCTGAATTAAAATTTAATAGTCAAGAAGAAAGACCTACCATATTGGCGTGCTGTTGATTAATTCATGGCACAAAAACACGTCATTGCCGCAATAAAAGTATTAATTTATATTATATGGAAGGAATTTATGTGTGAAATTTCAAAATACTTATTTCTTATACCTGTGTGTTCAAAATAATTCTTAAAATATTTTTTGAATTGATTGCATTCAGCTGTTAATTTTTTTTCCGTATTAAATTGTGCATCGTTTTTTTAGGATTTTTTCTTTTCTTTCTTCAATTAAATATAAAATTCCTATCTAAAAAACAAGTGTGTCAGTTTAAGTGGGTTATTGAATCAACGCACTTTTAATTGAAACTTAACATTTATTTGGGATTTTATTTTATTTAAACCTATTATAGATGTAAAAATTTTTATGTTTTGCATAAACGGTACATTTGCACATAATTTTATTGAATTTTGCGTATATTTTTCTACAATTTTGCTTTTTTTAAATGTAACAGTAACAAATGTTGCAACATTGAGCAAACATATGTTAGTTAGAAACAGCAATGAGAAATAAAGATTTTTAAAAAATATAGATTTATTTTTTGGTTGAAAGAATTTGTTTGAATATTAATAAAAAAGTAAATGAAAAAGATAAGTATTGTTTTATTTTTAATTTTTTTACTTTTTTGTTGAAAAAGTAGCTTTTCTTCAAATTTTAAATGCACACTATTATGTTTGTCTTTCTTTTTCTTATTTCTTGTTATTTTTGTACATTTGAACATAATTTTATTGAATTTTGCGTATATTTTTCTACAATTTTGCTTTTTTTAAATGTAACAGTAACAAATGTTGCAACATTGAGCAAACATACACTCATGTCCATAAATTACGGATAATTCAGAATCACACGGAAATCAAACTCTAAAATTAAAAGTTCACCTGTAGAATTATCACACACATCCTGAAGAAGAATATGCAAATTACAGGAAACCACTAGATGACGCTGGTAGTACGTCACAATGACTAGAGTGTAAGAGAGGGGTATATAAGGAATGGTGGCAAAGAAGTAAAATTTTTCACAAGCACTTTAAAAGCCTTTCAGTGCAATAACCGCATAGTTATGGCACAAAGGAAGCATTTGGATGATTTTTTACGTGGCAGAATCATCGGACGACTGGAATGTGAACGTACCCAGCTGAAAGTATCCGAGGAACTTGGAATCCCCCAGAGTGTCATCTCCAGGCTTTGGCAACGATTCCAAGGTGATTGTAATGTGAGTAGACATTACAGAGCAGGTCTCCCCCGAGTTACAACGCCGAATAAAGACCGGTATTTGGCAGTTACTGCCAAAAGAAACAGACGGCACAGCATCAGACCTGTCTCGACAGCTCTCTTCAGCTACCAGTACAACAGTTACAAGGCAGACCGTGTACAGACGCTTAGGGCACATTGGTCTATATGCTCGTAGGCCTGTTAGATGTGTTCCTCATACCGCAACTCACTATTGCCTGCGATTAGCCTGGAGTAGAGAGCATGCATTGTGGACACCGCAACAGTGGTCTTGTGTGATGTTTTCCGACGAGTTCAGGTTTAGTTTGCAGTCTGATTCTCGCCGGACTTTCATATGGAGAGCGCCAAGTACCCGTTACCACCAAGACAACACCATTGAACTACACCGTTGCGGTGGTGCAGGATGACTCGTTTGGGGAGGAATTATTCTTGGTTCCAGAACTGACCCGCATGTTCAGAGTGTAACGATGACAGGCCACATCTATAGGAATCTCATTCTGGAACAACATGTACGTTTGTTTCGAGGTGCCATGGGTGCTGAATTTCTGTTTATGGACGACAACGCCCGTCCCCACCGTGCAAACATTGTAAACGAATGCCTTCAATCGGAGGATATCACCCGTATGGATTGGCCAGCATACTCACCGAACTTGAATCCAATAGAGCATGTGTGGGATATGCTTGGCCGACGAATTGCAGCCCGTCAGCCCCCTCCCACCTGTCTACTGGACTTTCAGAGGGCATTGCTTGATGAGTGGTGTAATATTCCCCAAGATCAGATTGATAATTTGATACTCAGCATGCCTAGGCGTTGTACAGCCTGTATTGCATCGTCTGGGAGATGTACTCCGTATTAACCATCATACTAACCATGTTATACTGTTTTTTGTAAATAGGTTCTTTTTTGAAATTTGCTCCAGGGAGTAAAAATCGCAATTTTTATTAATTATGTCAAACATATAGCATCTTTTTTGCTCTTTACCTTTTGTTTAATACATAGACTTTACAAATAAGTCAAATTTGTTTGGCTTCTGTCTCTTTTTGTGCCTGAACTTCATTATCCTTAATTTATGGACATGAGTGTATGTTAGTTAGAAACAGCAATAAGAAATAAAGATTTTTTAAAAATATAGATTTATTTTTTAGTTGAAAGAATTTGTTTGAATATTAATAAAAAAGTAAATGAAAGAGATAAGTATTGTTTTATTTTGAATTTTTTTACTTTATTGTTGAAAAAGTAGCTTTTCTTCAAATTTTAACTGCACACTATTATGTTTGTCTTTCTTTTTCTTATTTCTTGTTATTTTTGTCTTTTAAGGATGATAGAGGATTCCATTACTCTAGAAGAAAGTCAATCAAAAGATAGGGACTCGAAAAATCAAAAATTAGATTCCTTTAGTAACAACAATGATAAACTAGAAAAAGCAACTCTTAAAGTCTACCTTAGTAATGGAAATTTCAATATAGTAAAATTTGGTGAAACCACTGACGTTAATGTAAGTACTACTTTTATTTTAATTCAATGAAATTATCATATGCACTGTTAATTGTTCACTAAATTTCTTGAAATCCTATAGTAAATTGGATTTTAGTTTTAGGCTTCATATCTTATCTCTTAAAGTGTTTTAGAAATTTCCGTTTGCTCTGCAGTGAGTTCTTTGAAAATTAAAAATAGTCAATTCCATATTGGGTATAAATAAAGTTGAAGCAGTATTCAAAAAATACTAATGAAAAATTTTCATTTTTTTTACTATAAGGAAGCTCTTTTTTCAGTCTCAAAGCTTAGAGTAAAAAGGGAATCGAAACACAGGGAGAATTTTAAGGTAAGTTGCAACTTAACTGACAAATAGAATCAGGCAGCAAGATCAAATAATATAGTCACCCCTAGGAGCAGAATTATTTTGCGATAAGTCTTTTGATAATTACAAACATTCTGCAGGTACTGACCAAAAAAATTCACTTATTAATATTTTAGTCATGAAATAATTTTATTTATCAAACTAATTTTGCAAAAAAGGAAAAAAAAGGTTAACAAACTAGCCAGAAAAGAAGAACCTTAATTAAATATAAAATTACGTATAAATGCTTAAATTATGAAATAAAATGAAATAAACAGTTATGCAGTTTCTTTTTCTTTGTGACAGATTGTTAAATTGTTTTGCTGGAGAGCCGACACAAATCATTTTGCTCCAAACACAAATTATTTTGCAATATCTTCGATTGTTCTGTGATATATTTACGTTAAAAAATTTAATATGTGATTCACATTTACTTGATCAAATGTCGCACTTAACAAATGTTCAGAAATTAATGATTTTATATATATAACAATGTTTGCCTGCAAATTTTGTGTCATTCCTGCATAAAATATGGAGACCAACTTTTGAGTCATTATCTTAAAAAGTAGAGATTTCTAAAGGTTATGTCTATTAAGTTGTTTGAAACATGATGTACTAAATTTAAATTACTAACTCATAAATATTTAGTGAATTTCATTTAAAGAAAAATTCTTGTAACAAATTCAAAAGCAAACTAAAGATTTATATCTGCAATAAGTCATGAGTTACTTAAAAATCATTTGAATATAAATATAATCTTTCATTGTTTTGTTATGAGACCCGTGAAAAACTTTAAATTTCATTCAAGTGGCCATAGCTATTTTTGACCAGAGGAAGTTTCACTTGTAAAGATTCAACATTAATCTCACAGTTTTTCAAAATTCCAATGTTATAATGCTATAGAGGAAAAAAGCACCCTGAATAAATATACTTTTAGCTATAAAGAAAAATTAAAACTGAAATTTTAGGCAAAAAGCAGCAAGAATTGTAGTCATGCATATTGTATCGAATTGCTGTGTGCATGGCAAAGATCAATCTGCCTTACCTTTATATTTTTCAAAATTTAAAGTGGTTGATTAGGGATTGATGTAGTTCTCTGAAACTTTCCAGATCAAAGTTTAAAATGAAATAAGTTTTTAATTAAATACATAATCCCTAGAAACTGAAGCAGTAAGATATTACTTGATTATAAAACTTTATTCGCTTAAAAAATATAAAGATTGGATATAACAGTTCACATGTTTCAAGCACTCAAACATGGGTGCCCATTTTCTAGACTTGCCAGATGTGAATGAGAAGAAACAAATTGATTTGAAATATAAAATTTAAAGTTTCCAATGAAAATGGGAAAATAAAGATGAGAAACAAAACTGAAAAAACCTGAGTAGCCAAGAGAAAAAAAATAAAGATAAAAAGCAGAATAAGATAAATCACTGTGACTAAGAGGGGCAAATCAGGGTAAAATGCATTTTCACATGTTATGTAGAGGTAGTGAAGAACTAATATGTTTAACTAGGGAATGAGCATTCATATGAATATAACAAGATTTCAGGACATCAAGATGAGCTGATGTGATTAAAGTGGAAATAGTTTTGGCATTGTCAAAATTAAATTTATGCTCAAGATTCCAACAATGTACAGAAATGGATGATTTTTCATGTTCTTGATAATGGACATATCTACTATCATGTTCCTTAAGTCTAAATTTTAAGGCATGTCAGGTTTGTCCAATGTAGCTAAGGTTGCAATGACAAGGAATATGGTAAATTCCCCAGCAATTATTAAAACTGATAGGATCTTTAAGAGACTTAAATTTAATTTTGTTGACAGGCCTAAAAATGACTTAAAAATTAAAATGGGAGAGAGGATCTTAGCACTTTTGCAACAAACTGAGAAAAAAGCGTAATTTAGGTATTTTCTATATATATCTATACATATATGTATATATAATATGATCAGGATTGTATTAGATAATGCACTTTTTTCAAACAGCTGACTTATAAACTTCGAAGGGAATATAATTCTTAAAGCATAAACTCCTAGAATAAAGTAATTTTTCTTACCTTATATTTATATTGGCGATTTCTTTTACTTATTTCATATATTGAAGTAATGTTGCATTTTGAAACTATCTTTCATTTTTCTAACAAAATCTGCTTTAATAGCTGAAGTTTAAAAAAATGTATTATAACTGCTACATGATTGATTCTATTGAACTAAAAGATTGTATATTTGATTTTTAATTTTTTAGGATATAATAAATGTTGTAACAAATAAACTCTCTGATACTCCTCGCCAATACGTTTCTTTGTTTGGAATACGGATTTTAGATACCAATTCCAATGAAGTTCACTGGTTACACACTGAAGTGGGAATGTTTCAAATTCTAGAAAAGTATTCAAATTTGGCTTCTGATGACTGGCGGTAAGATTAATTAAGTCTTATTTCTCTTTCATTAACATAATAATATTTGAATTCTGTTAAAAACTTGACATTTTCAAGAAAAAGCCCAACCCATTCTTTTTTTAAGGAGGACTTACAGTGTTTTTTTCGATTTTTATGAAACTAGTGTTATTTTAATGTGTAATTCTTATGAATAAACACTCTTAATAAAGTTACTAAACATTAATTTTAATTTAGTAAAATTGATGAATAATTTTTAACTAATGAAGTGTTAATTAAGGAAGAATGATTCTCTTAAAGTTTTAAAATTTTAAACTCAAGAAACTTTGTTAAAACTAAAATAGAACTTTAAATTAAAATAATCACTATAATAGCAAAACAAAGTGGATTAATAAATAACAAAGGCACATTGGTTAAAAATTAGCATGAAGAAATACTTTACATTGAAACAGTCTTTAACGCATAGAAGATTAAAATTTGATTTACACATTGCGTAACACATTCAAGAGAAAGAACGACATGCATTGCGCTCTCAGGCATAAAGCTGTAAGTCACAGATGACAATGAATTTAAGTTAATGAAAGCAAATTGTGAAGTTTGATAAATGTTAATTGTAAAATGTAAATTGAGTACTATTTTCAAAACTATATATTGACTTTTAATCAACAGTAACATCTTATATTTCCAAAGAAAAATTAAACAGCTTAATCAAATTAATTTTATTAATATTATATATGCAAATTTCATTTTGTTTAGGTTTGAGTAAAGTTAACATTTAATTCGGCAGGTGTAAACAATTTCAATCAAATTATTAAAGCATTTTAATTAAACAATTTTTATCCTTTTGATTTGTTTTAAAATACATATTATTTAAATATGTTAGACAGAAAAAAAAGCAGATTAAAATAATTTCTCATGGACTTTTGATGAATATTAGTGTTATGAGGGCTAAAGTTGAATCTTTTTAATGTCATGTTGTTGTGCAAAGATTTTTAAAACTGTTCAGGATGTGTACGTATTGACTCTAGATAAACTAATTTTTATGTTAAACAATTTTCTCCATATTTAGCTACGAAAGTTCAAGATTTTCAGAAATTTGAATATATCCTTTTGAAAAAGAGAAACATAAAAAGGAGTTATTGAAAATTCTGATTAGACAAGTTCTAGAAAATCTATGATACCAATTTGACTTAGGCAATTGAACTTTTAAAAAGCACAGAATTAATTTATTTTGGTTGTTAATGCTTCACTAGAGCAACACTAATATGCTATTGGTAACAGTTTGGTTTTTATTATTAATGATGTTTTGAATTCAATATTGGCATAAATCCACTCTACACTACCACTTTTTAAGGTATGTCAATAGGTCGGGCAATTTTTGAAAATTTTTTTTATGTGTATTATAATTTAAAATATGTTTTAATTTATTGTTCATCAAAACATTGATTTCAAACTTCTGTTTAATCTCACTTCTTCTAATTTATTCTCACTTCATCTATATTTATACTATCGAAAGAGGAGATGTCTGAAGCAAAAAATAAAGGCATAGGAATTACAATTTGTATGGAATGAAAAAAGCAACATGATTATAAAAATTAAGTATTAATGTTAGCAACTTTTTTTAGATTTTTAATATGTCTGGTTTAACATTTTTAAAATGGGCCATGTACTCTTTATGAAATAAACTGAGGGGGACGAACCTTTTCATATTAAGTTGAGGACAATTCATGACAAAATCAAACAAACATTTATTATCAACTGAAACATAACAATAAGATAAAAACAGAAAAGTAAAAGTTGTGTGTGAGTGTGCACAGAGCAATATTCAAAGCTTCTTAAATACTGAAGAAGATACAAGGTTGCCGATCCTGTGTACATCATCCAGCTGATTCCTTTGGCGACTACGCACCATGCCTGGCCCCACAAAACAATTCAAGCATATAGTTTATGGTATTTTTTTAACTCTAAAGTTTTTAGAGAGATTAAAGAAAAACATTCTGTTGTGACTCCTCCACAATTTGAGCTCTCTATGAAAATGTATAGAAAGTTATTTTAAGTTGAAAAATCTGTCTAAAAATTAATTGAGTTTGAAACGAGTTTTGCAGTTGTTTTTGAAACTATAAGTTTTATATTTCCTCTTTAAAAATGATATCCTGGTTACGCTCATCATATCCTGTATGGGCACTTCTGCATGATCAGTTTGTATCCCTCAACCATTAAAATATTTTAACATGAGAACACTAATCTTAATTGTTTCAATACATAATAAAAAGGAATAGCATTATAAAAAGGAATCAAAATGACTTAGATTAGTGTTCCTGGGTAAATTCTATTCTCAAAAACTGCATAATTCTTTAAAATTATATTTCCTAGGATTAAGTTCTTTGAAAGTTTTCATGCATGCAATGTATAATAAATTTATTAATTATTTTTTATTTTATTTAGGCTTGAACTACGTATTAGATTTGTTCCTAAAGATTTAAGAAATTTATTTGAAAAAGATAAAGTTACATTTCTTTATTTATATGACCAAGTAAGTGGTAAATAATCTATTCAAAATTTGAAATAAATTGATATCTATGTTATTTAACTTCATAATCATATTTAAAAAAATTAATTTTTATTTAATTTACTTTTTTTAAATTGCTTGAGTTTAAATAATATAGGAATATCCATGTCTGTTTTCTTTTAAATTTAATTACCTGATTTGAACTTAAATTCTGAACTAAATTAGGATTAAGCAAAATTTTAGTTTCTAGTTTATAAAGCACTATATCTCTTAATAATGTTTGTTTGTTATCTTCTATCATATTGCTGATTGAAAATGTTTTAATTATAATATTTAGATTAAAATTTAAATATTAATTATTTAATTGATTTTTTTAACAACTATGCTAATTAAATTAGCATATCACCTTAATTTTTTTAATGTTTCACTTTGCGTTAGGTTTGTAATTTATTTTTCCCTTTCATATTCTGAAAAACTGAAAACTTGTGCATACTTTTCTAAATTGTTTCCTTCCTTTTGCATACCTGCCAACTCTTCTGATTTTGTCCGAAAGCTCATAAATTTCAAATCCGTTTTACGATCTTCCAATCAGGAACAAAAATCTTCTGCTTTTTTAAAAATATCATTTGTTTCTTTTTATACAATTTGTATTGTTTAAGGTATAGGAAAAATATTGCATAAAAATTTCTACCGAAGGAAGATATAAAAAAAGGGCAAAATCTGACTTAATAATATGAAAAAGAAATTATGGGTTGAAAGTGGGGAAATGCACAAAGGGGGCCTCTTGCGTTTCTTTACTTTCTCCACCTCTTGTGGAGAATAAAGAAAGGTCATATGAACAAAGAACGTCGCTTCTTTTTTACTCTAACTGGATTATTCCACTTTGTAACCATGGAAACAGAGGTAGCAGAAAGAAATTTGTAGTGTTCACGAAGCCAGAACGGAATTCATAAAAAAGTTGTGTAAGATGTTGAACGAATACAATTGGTAACTTCAAAGTTTTGTGCGGATCTACCGTTCTGCTTACGCTTTATTTTAAGAATTTGGTGGAATTATAGCCAGGTGAGGAAGCTTGAAACGAGTCGTAAAGTGATTTGCGTTTCAATCCTGTTTCATCTTGCATTGAAATATTATTGTTTTGAATTTAAAATGGGTGGTGGATTAAAGAAATTATAGTCTTAATCATTTTGGGATAATCATATTATGGATTTTCCGTACGTAAAAAGATCAACTTTTGGATCAAATCATTCATATTGCATTGTTTGTGGAGTGGATTTTCTAATATCTCACGGTGGAAAAAATGACAATAAAAAGCATATGAGCTCAGATTAATACCAAAGACAAGGGAAATTCTCAGATTCAAAGGACTTTGTTAAGTTATCAAATTATTTCTCGAGTTCGTTGGATGAGAAGCAACAATCAGTAATGAATGCTGAACTATTATTTACCAATTTTCTGATCGAACACAATATTCCGACTACTGCTGCTTATCACGCTTGAAAATTATTTCCGAAAATGTTTCCTAGTCCCGAAGTCGACAGAAAATATGGTTGTGGGAAAACAAAGACAACAGCTATAATTAGCCTTTTAACTTTAGAAAAAGTGAACGAAATAGGGAATTAACTGCAGCAAGTGCCCTTTTCAATGGGTGTAGATGGCAGTAATGATTCGGAAACAAAGCTTCACCCAATCATTATGGAATATTTTGATGAGAATATCAGAAAATTGCTTAATATCCATAAGCCCAATTGCAAATAAATCCATAGGAAAAAATATTGCACCAACAGTTATAGATGCTTTTGACGCATTAAAAATTCTATGAAGCAACTGTTTGGCATTTGTGCTGATGATGCACCAAACCAAAGACAAGCGAAATTCTCAGATTCAAAGGACTCTGTTAAGTTATCAAATTATTTCTCGAGTTCGTTGGATGAGAAGCAACAATCAGTAATGAATGCTGAACTATTATTTACCAATTTTCTGATCGAACACAATATTCCGATTACTGCTGCTTATCATGCTGGAAAATTATTTCCGAAAATGTTTCCTAGTCCCGAAGTAGACAGAAAATATGGTTGTGGGAAAACTAAGACAACAGCTATAATTAGCCTTTTAACTTTAGAAAAAGTGAACGAAATAGGGAATTAACTGCAGCAAGTGCCTTTTTCAATGGGTGTAGATGGCAGTAATGATTCGGAAACAAAGCTTCACCCAATCATTATGGAATATTTTGATGAGAATATCAGAAAATTGCTTAATATCCATAAGCCCAATTGCAAATAAATCCATAGGAAAAAATATTGCACCAACAGTTATAGATGCTTTTGACGCATTAAAAATTCTATGAAGCAACTGTTTGGCATTTGTGCTGATGATGCACCAAACCTAAAAATGAGCTTCAAGAAATATAAAAAAAGCTAAATTAAGTAATTGTATGAGCTGTCCTGTTAAGGAAGTTAAAAAAAAGTCAAAGTAGTAAAACATTTGTTAAAGCAACTCTTAAAAAAATTGTTACTAAAGAAGATAGGATTTTTTATTTCTTATAATCTGAACTAAAAAAAAAGCTAGGCCCAATTCTTGTTGCATATTCCAGAATTTGAAAGACGTCTGTATTCTTTAACTGTTTTTTTTTTAAAATTTAATATTTGCATTTTGAATTCCATGTTTTTTTTTTAAAAATCTACCAAGTATTATTAACTTTTCTTTTCAGAACAGTGGTTAAAATATTTTTTATTTAATCTTTGTCATATAGCATTAATCCTACACACGTTCATTTTATTTTTATTTATTTTTTTCTATTGCTATTAATCCATTTTTGGCCAATGGTGCGTAAACGCACCATTTTAATAAATAATTTTTTATTAACATCATGGCGAATATTTTTCAATAATTTTATTTTTCTGTGTTGTTTTAAATGGTTTTATAGACATCTATAAAATATTAGTAATTCAATAGGAGTAAATAATTTCCATTGAGAAATTTTCAAAGCACACAAATTTTTGAACTTCAAACGGTTACAGAAAAAGCCCATTTTTTTTAAAACTGTTTAATTATTCCACCTCAGATTTATTATATGTTTTTATAATTGGTTAAAGTAGTAAGTTCTGAAAAAAAATTAAAATAAAACAAATGTGACAAAAAAATTAAAAAAATTTCATTCAACTTTAATGGTGCATTAACGCACCATTGACCGAATCAATGAGAAATAGACGAAATTCGAAAACCCACATTTTATGCAAGGTTTCAGAGTTTTATTGAAGATTTATTGTATATTCAGAGTTTTATTGGTTTTATTGTATATTCAGAGTTTTATTGTTAAGTTTTTATTTTTATCAGAGTTTTATTGTGCTGAGGTTAACAGTGTTCGACAAAATATGCCATAAGGAACAAGCGTTGTTCTGAAGTTACTTAGCGTTGTTTCAATACCTGAGATAGTGAAATTTAAGTTTTGATAACTTTTTCTCTTCCAATAGTTTATTTGAAATTTTGAAAGGAAAGGGTTTCTTTGCATCTGGCACAGCTCTTGAAAATCTTATGGGTGGTTGTATATTGGATGACTACACAATTATGAAGAAAAAAAAGAAAACTTCGTGGTTCCTATGATATTGCATTCAGCAAGGATACAGAAACCCTTGCAATTTAATGGAACCACAATGCTGTGGTAACAATTGTTACTAATAACGGTATCATTTTGCCCCTTGTAAGTGCCAAACGGTACAGTTGCAAGGAAAAAAAGGAAGCTTTTTCTTATAACCATTGTTGAATAGCCGACCTAATTTTGCGGGTCTAGGACTCCTTGGGCAACTCCGTAGCCTTGTAATTTTGAACCCAACCCAGAAGACAAGGGATTTCCTGGATCAAATATTGGGAGAAATCTTCCTCCTTGGAGGACTTTTTGATGGAACTAACCTGCATTTGCGTTACATGGAGAAAACCACAAGAACCTCCCACGGCTAGCCTGACTGCAAAAAGACTCTAACCCATGATCCATCTACCACTGAGGATATTTCGTCAGCACTGTGGTCAGTGCCAGCTGGATGAGGATTCGTATCAACCAACCATCATCGGGATTCGAACACGGTTCGCCTCATTGGAAAGCTAATGCTCTTTCCCTTGAGCCATCGCTGCTCAAGAAAAGAAGTTGTGATTTCACAGCTCAACGTTATTTCGGATTAGAGTAAGCATATGGGAAGTGTAGACCTACATGACAATGCCATAGCTAAATGCCGCATCAAGATTCAAGATAAGAAATGGTGGTGGCCATTATTTACAAACTTCGTTGATAGTGTTATAGTAAGTTTCTGGAAGCTACATAGAATTTCAACTGGCTCAAAAATATCACTTATATACTTCAGATATTATATAGCTATTGCCTAATTAAAATCTGAATCCGAGAACAGTAAATCTGGTGAAAGTTCATTACAAGTTACCCATTCAAACAATGGTTGCCTGGCATCCGCAGTACAGACTGATAGAGTCGGACATACAACAAATGGGCAGGGAAAAAAAGCCAACAGGCGATGTAAAGTGTGCAAAAACCTCACGATTAATTTATGCATCAAATGCAAATTTCATTTACATTAAAAATGTTTAGAATGTTTCCATTAAAAATATAAGCGTTAAACTTAACGAATTGTTCATTGATCTGGCCAATGGTGCGTGTATGCACCATTTTATTTCTTAAATAAAATATTATTTTTCATGCAGGAAACCTATTTTTTGTTTTAATGAATGTAATTTAAGCATACTTCAGTGAAAATAATACCACATTTTATAAAATTTCTATCCTTGACCTAAAATGGGTTAAAAACAAATTAAGTATTAAGTTAGATATTTTATAATATGTGCAGCTTTTTGAATTTCTTTTGTTACAACTCCTCCTTTTGCATTTCATTTTTTATATTTTAGTTCTTGCTTTTGTTTTATTAACAGAAATGTGTTTAAATATTATTTTTTGAAGCTTATTACATTAATTAAACACTGCTGCTAAATGTAGTTAAAAGGAAGAACCTAATTTCACAGTTTAATTTTTCATTCAATAAAATTTAAATTCGATGAAAGGAATTTCTGTTCCATATTTTGTTGAAAATTGTAAATGAAAGGGTTAAAGGATTTAAGGTATTTAAAGTAAGAAATTTTTTGTTGCGCATAAAATCTTCCTTTTTTCTGATTTAAATCTTACAATTTTTGAACTTCAATCTTCTTAATTCCTACTTTCTGAGATTGGCAGGTATGCTTTTGATATTTTTATTTCATGTGCAATTAAGTTTTCAATATATTGCAAGAATTCAATTAAATCATTAGTGAAAAATATATTTTGATGCAATAAAGTGGCATACCTCTCATAAAGGAGAATTTCTGGTTTTTTGCTTGCTAGATAATTTAAAGGTTCAAGTTTCTGAAAACTTAATAAAAATTTATTTTATAAACTAATTTTTAGATATAACAGTTCAAGATGTTTATTGGAAGCAACTATAGGTACATTATAAATGTAATATAATTCCTCTTTTTGGATAAGTTTGTTTTATAGAATGGTATGCTCTTGATATATGAATGACATACTGTTAATGTTCACATTGATTAATTTATTATTAACTGCTGTTTTTCTATTTCTTAATTTTTAGATTAAAAATGACTATTTGCAACTGAGTGGGAGTATTGATCAAGAGTTGGCTATACATTTATGCTGTATTGAAATAAGGTTTGTTTTAAATGAATATTTTAATTTAAAAAATTATACATCAGCTTTGAAAGAAATAGGGCTGAAAATCTTTATTTACTGTTTCACTAATCTTTCTTTCTTTTTCAACTGATATAGACTACTTTTACTTTCCAGACAAGCTAGTACCTATAGATTTGAAGCTGAGTCGTTTTTTAAACTGCCTCTAGTGTCCAGTAATTTACAGTGATAGTTCAGTGTCTTAACCACAATACCATTATGGCACGCTCAGATTAGTATATAATGCTGTAGAAAACATTTTTGCAACAGCTCATTTTAGGTGAGGAGGTTATAGAGGTTAAGGCTCCATGATATTCTGTTGGGCAGGTTTCAAGCTGCTACAGAGGAATGGCATCGAATTGATCATTAAATTAATAGTCACATATTATGCAGATTAGAATTTTGTAAACATATACTTAAAGTATCTTATATAAACTATGAAGAATTGAAGAGAAACATTGCAAAGCTAAGTGAATGAGCACTCCAGTGATGCAGTCTGTTAAAGCGTTACTCTCACTGCTAGTTGGAGAGCTAGGGTTAGTGAGTTCGATCCTGACAGCCAACAAAAAACCCTGGGGTGTATATAGACAGTGGATGTTAAATTTATTGTGGCTGAAATTCCTCTCATTGGCTGTGACGTGGAAATTTTGAGAAAGGGGCACCAGCTCTGGTGCTGTCCCTGTTGTCTAACCAGGTTCAAAATTACGTGGCATTCCTATCATTATTAAAAGTTGGAGTCCTAAAATGGGGCTAGGTGCTTGGCTATGGTTGAGTGATGTGTGAGCTAAGTAAATCAATGTTTTAAGACCATTTTTTCATAATAGGATGTACAGAAAAACAGATCTGATTAAGATTGTTTACTAGGAAAATGGGAATATAGAATTTACTAGGAATTATGCTGTATAAAAAACCACACACCCTGTTCTGTCAAATCTTACAATCTTTTTCGTTCTCTGCATTTTTTTTTCACTTTGATTTTCTTAGAAAAATATAAAACAATGTGATAAATTAAATATTTTGTTATTCTTTATTGTACTTGTACTTGAATTATTGTAAAATAAATTATACTGTTACACATATACTATTATTTTTTATGTGTAAAATTATGCTTTAAATTTCAAAGAAATCTGAATTATTATTATATAAACATATATATCCTTTAAAAGTTTTTAAATTTGTAAACACTAAATTTAAAAATGTTTGTTTTATTTATTTTTCTCTTTCTGTATAGAAATAATAAATAGATATTTTTATTTGCTGCTTTAACTCTAACAATGATTAACATTAGTAAACATAGATGGCGCCACAAGCCTAATTATGTTTTTAAAGAAATAGTATGGATTTAATAATTCTTTATGAAAAATTGTTAAAAAAATAATTTCACTTCAGTAATTTTCCGCCACTTTCAAGAAAAACTCATGTTTGTTCTGACAAAATTATTAAATGAAATTAAAGTCAAAATTAAATGAAATTAAACTCAAAATATAAGTGAAACTTATATTTTGAGACAAGTTGTCTAATATTGATAGAAGTACTTTTCTATTTTTTAGAGAATAAATGTGAAATTCTGGTAAGAATTTCTCTAAAAGTGGTAAATAAGTTTTGGTGCATTTGTTATATTTGATGAAGTCAAAAATATCTTGCTCTATGCATTTTTGTTTTGAATAAAAAACTTTTTTTAATTTTTAGCTAGAATTAAAATTTTTGTAAACTGGGCTATCAAATTAATTAAAATTAACTTTCTAAGGCCGTGGACAAGCAGGAAAAAAATCTTAGTGACAAAGCTAAGTAATCATATAAACCAATTATCCAAATGAAAAACCACATGAACATATTAAAATGTTTAGTTTAATAAATAGACCCTCTCGATAAACCATTCAGATTATTTCAACGATCTTCTACCATCTGGGCAGCTCTTTTCATCTACCAACATTACATCATTAACAATAAGGACATGTTGCTAAGAAAGAGGTGCATGTTTATAGCAAAAGTTTTCACTCTATTTTTTTCAAATTCAAATAATCACATCAAATTAATTTATTAAATTCTGAAAACTATACATTAAGATTAGTTCTTTTTTGAAAAAAGCGAAATATAGTAGATGTCTTCCTCTTAAGCTTAGTTAAACCTGTATTCTATATGCAATTTTTTTTCCGTTTTATAGCTCATTTAAATAGAATAGCTGAGAAAAATTCAAAATTTATGGTGATCAGCTACTGTTTCAGATTGAAATATTTTAGTAGAATATTAGTAGCATATAAAGCGTAGAGAAAAAAAATGACTTGAATGCAAAAACATTTGTTTGAAAAAATTTAATAGGAATATAATCCGGAAGAAAAATATGCATTGCTTGAGTATTTTTTCTTGATGGCACCTACTGTTTTGCCAATTTATATATTTAAATTTTATTCAGATTGTATTAATATAGTTTAATTTGAATTTAGAGAGGTATTTTTCTTTTTGCTCAACAGGAGGTTCTTCAAAGATATGACTCATGTAGCATTAGATAAAAAATCAAATTTCGAGTTCCTAGAAAAAGACCTTGGGCTACACAAGTTCCTACCCTCATCTGTGATTTCTAATAATAAGGTAGATTGTTATGAATTTTAAATGTAAAGCTGAAAAGTATTTTTGAAAATATAAAATTGTTAACTATTTTTTAAATTTTATGTAAATCACATATTTTATTTTCTTCGCTTGAAACTAATATTTTATTTTATGTTATGTGAAACTTTTGAAACATTATAAGTTATTAAGTACCATAAAGAAATATGTAGTTTGTGACAAATTTTCTTAATCTTTATTAGCTTTTGTTCTATACTTTTTTTTAATTTTATACTCTGTCTTGTTTAATTCCTTTTTAGTTTATTCAAAAGAGGACTGTTGATCAAAATCAGTAGAATAATTCTGTTTTACTATTACCTTGCAATACCTATTTGTGCTTGTAGTTTTGGAGATTTATTGATTACTTTCTTTATTTTAAACTTTTAAAATATTTATTTAGTTATTAAATTGTTTAAATGCTTTTACATTCTTCTTTAAAAATTTTGTTAAGCTTCTACAATTAGGATTAAAAGATTACATTTAAATTATTTGAAATTGGGAGATATTTTCATTTGCAGTATTTAAAATAATCTTTTTTAATGAGAACCAAAAAGTTACCTTTGCTAATAAAAATCTTAATGTAAAGGGTTATTGTTTTCTCTTAATAAAAACGAACCTTATGTTGTTAAAGCTAAATAAGTTTTTAAGTGCACGATCTTTCAAGTTCCGAATAATAGTCTATATATTTAATGAAACTAGTCTTGCCAAAAATATGTATGTAAAATAGTTTTGTAACTTGTATGTTTCAAAAGTACAAATGATAACATTTCTCTTGTGTATCAAACATAGCCTTAAAAAGTATTTAGACACTTTGAGTATCCTGCGAGTAATTTCTTATTAAATTAGGTCTGTCTGTTGGAGAGATTTTTCTTTAGCTAAACACATTCCAAGACTACTTGAGTCTCTAATGCTGTTTAGATTAGAAACTGAACAGCTGATACCAGCTCTTGCTCTAATTAACTCCACATTCAATTCTGGTTGAAAAATTGTCTCTTTTTGGCTTCATTAATGTTTTTTTCTTCTTCTCTCCTTCTTGCCTCTTCCCTCGTGTTCTAATGTATCCCTTTTCCTCTTCTAAAATCACACTACAAGTAGCTTAAATTCTAAAAAATTTTAACTTTAGAGTATTTTTTTTACCGAACATTATACTCAATTTCTGTAATCTTAAGTTATTTGAGAAATTTACAAAATTTCTTGCCAATGTGGTCTGCTCTATATTGGGCAAATTAAATATGATTCTCAGATGTGAAATTCAGATAAAATGAAAATATTAATTAATTATATCAAAAACTTAGGAGTTCATGATATATCTAATGTGCAACACTCTTGATCAGTAAATCATAAATTCCAATTTGATTTGGCTATTGTTATTCAAAAATGTCTTTGGTAGATTTAAATTTTTGGGAAAATTATTTTATTATTAAAAAGAACAATACATCTTTAGCAAATGAACCTTCTGTGATAAAATTTTCCTGAAGATATGAACATGGAAACTTTTCTTGTTTTAATTCCAGATATTAAACACCATTACTTTTAAAATTTTGATTCTTAACTCTTGTTTTACCCCTTCAATGTATCATTATTATTCTACTGAAGTAGTTTATGTCTTTTGACTTCCATTTTCTTATTGGTTGATTCAATTTTAAATTTTGCTTTAACTTTCTCCTTTATAATGTTTTTCATTGCCATTTTTCTGTATTCTGCTTTGAAGATGATGCTCCAATGTACCATCGAAATTTTTATGCAATTTTCAATTACAGTAAAGCGCCGATTATCCGAACTGTTCAGGACCAAACGTGGTTCGGATAATGAAATGTTCGAATAATTGGAAAGTTGTTTAAAACCTAGTTTAAATGATTATTATTTATGCACCAACTTCCCTTCACACTTTTTCTAGGCTTAGGACTGGCAGTACTATCTAAAATAGCTCTGGCGAGTTTAAGACTTTTTTTTTTCAATTTTTAAATATATTTTTTTAAACTTTTTTTTTCAATTTGAATCATTTTTATCATATTTCGGCTTTTTTATAATTTTTTTTGTCAATTACTGATTTTACCACATTTTTCTTTATTTTCCATTGCAAAAGATATCCAGCAAAGACTTTTGTTTCAAAGAACATGCTCTTTTTTGTGCAGCCATATCCCTTATTCTTTTTAAATAAATCAACTGAATTGGATCAACATCATTTTGACGTTCTAGGCAATTCATTGCAATATCTAATGAATTGCATGCTTCTTATGAGAAGGTCCACGATCTTGAACTTGATCTCTTACTTCTTCCTCTTAATCTGAGGAATTCCGATTTTCGTTCAAAATTTCAGAAACAATTTCATGATCATTTAAAATTTTAAATCCTGAGTCGTTTTCAGTGTCTCAACACCAGTCTTCTATTTCTTCTGCTGTATAACATGGCATATTTTCACCCGAAAGATCTACCGATTCGCAAACTGCAGTTTCGTTTGTTTTTCTGATAAGAATTTTATTCCAAGATTTAAGATTCCAAGCACTGTAATCACTAATCATTAACCATGAATGACAACTACCCATCCCCCAATTGTAGAATTTTGGTACTTATCTATTCATAAACACATTCTGCTTTCCAACAATTGTAGATTGTCAAAATGAAGCTCGCATTCTTTGATGATAATTTTCAGTTGAAGAGGGCCAAAGGGGTATGTAGGTTTAACTGTATAACAATACATGTATGTATGGCTACTATAAGAAAACTGCTGAAAAAGGTTGTAAATTAAATATGGTCTTCAGATGTAGTGGATATTATCTATTCCTCTAAATTTAGAAAAATTGTTGATAAGTTAAAAAGTATTCTAAACTTAAAAAAAAAGAAGTTAATTCGGACATAATTCGGATAATTGGACGCTCGGATAATAAGAGTTCGGATAATCGGAGCTCTACTGTATTGAAATGTGTTTATTTGTAGATTTTAACATTGTCCTTTTTCTTTTTTAGCTCTATGTATATTTTTTTATAGAAGTTGTTTTATACGCTGATTTTGAAAACTTTTTTTGTTTCTATTTGCAGCCCAAAGCTCTTCGTAAACTGATACAAACTCAATTTAAAAGATTTGCATCTTTGTCAGAAGTAGACTGCATGTTTTTATTCCTGGAAATGGTTCATCAAGTTATTAAATATGATAGAGAAAGTTTCAAGTGTGCTTTAGGGGTATATTTCTAAAATTTTATTCTTATAATTGAATATATTCACGTTTATAATATGCTGCTAAAATTTTGATCTAAGGTATATAGTTCGAAGTTTTAAGTGTATGATCAGGAAATTAGAGACAGATATAGTTCATGTTTCTAATTAAAACAAAAGAGCTATATCATTAAGCTTTAGACATAATAAGATAAATGTTTATTCTTTTTTGAAAAAAAATAAAGAAACTATGGTAGCTTTTCTAATCAGTAGCAAGTTTTAAAATACAAATTTATAGAGACAGAAGTTAAAGTACAACTCAAAGGATAATAGCTCACTGTGCACATCTTGTTATCAAGTTATGTGTAGTGGTAAATAGAAACTATAAAACACTTAATCAAAAAGGAATAAAGAATACATGATTTAACTTATTATAGCTATTGATTATTGTCAGGATTATAATTTTCCTTTAATACAATCTTTAAATATGCGCATTGCGTTGGAGCTGTAAAATTAATAATCAATATTTTATTAAATAAAAACAAGGTACCGAATATTTTTAGCTGTGATTGTTTCAAATTAAATGTTTTAGCTCATAGTGCACTTACATATTAATAAACTCAAATATTGTGTAGTGGCAAATAATAACTATGAAATACTTTGTAAAAATGGTTACTGTGAATTGAATAGTAGTAGCTGCTGATTATTGTCAAGGTTATAATTCTCCTTCAATTGATAATCAATATTTTATTAAATGAAAACAAAGTAGCAAATTTTTTTAGCTGCGATTGTTTCAAATTAAAGGCATTAGCTCATAGTGCACTTACATATTAATAAACTCAAATATTGTGTAGTGGTAAGTAAAAACTATGAAACACTTTGTAGAAATGGTTAAAGAATCTGTGAATTTGATAGTAATAGCTACTGATTATTGTCAAGGTTATAATTTTCCTTTAATGCAATCTTTAAAAATATGTAAAACATTAGGGCCAAAAAATTAATGATTATTTTATTAAATAGAGCATAATCTTAAGCTGTCTTTGAATTGAAATCTTAAGCTGTTTTTGAATTTCAATATTACTATTTTTAGCAGTTAAATAAAGACAATTAGAATTTAATTTCTGCTAAAATGTGACTAAACTGAAAAAAAGATTTAACAGATATTTTTGAGAGTAGGATTATATATAAATTTAATTATTGAATGATATATGTTATTCCTGTTTTGGCATGACAATAAACATTTTGTCGTTGTGTAAGGAATATATATTTAAGGAGTAACTGTAAAAATTATAACTTACATATTGTATTCAGTTAACTGTTTTTATTGAAAAATATATTGTTTTATTTTTAGATGTATTTAAAGAGATGTTTGCATCATGCTTTCTATCTGATGTTGCTTTTGTGGCTAATTTTTTCTTGTTGAACATATTTATTAATATATAATTTTAGCTTTCGCTTTCAAGGAAAATAATTCTATGAATCAATATTGTTGTATAACTATTTTTATTAAGCATGTGAATGCTAGAAAAATGTTTTCTCAAATCCTGATCTTAAGCATTCATTACTTATTTAAATAAGCCTCGCAGTTAAGAAGAGGTAAAATTATTAATTATGTTTTTTATTCTGTTACAGTAATTGGATTTTTGAACGAAATAATAATTTTTTTTGCTTTTGCGAGGTCTGTGAAGTTGTGTGGAGAAAAGCAGTTTGTACTTGTGTGTTATTTTTCCACATTATTTGTCATGTCTTTAAGGAAAAAAAGATTATCGTTAAAAGAAAAAGTTGATCTAATTTTTGTAGCAGAAATGGAAAAGCTTATTTTGCAAGATTTAAGACAAAGATTTGGAATAAGCAAAAGCTTAGTAATACTAATCCCTGTAAGCATTATAAAACTATAAAGTTAAAAAAAGGGAAAAAAAACTAAAGCATGTGAAATTTATACAGAAGTGTTCAATTTGTTTTGTTCAGTAAGAAAAATTCTTGTAAGAGAAAAATTAATTTCTGGTATTATTATAAGAAAAGCTAAGAGAAGTTTAAAAAAGTATGAAACTACTGGACATCAAAGCATCAAATGATTTGTTAGACAAATTTAAGTTGAGGAATCGCATTACTTTTAAGAATATCTGTGGGAAAAAATTAGAATAAACGCAACAAGGATCAAAAAAGTTGTATGTGTGAACCTGAATTTCCCATTTTTACATATTTTTGGATGAAGGGCACCTATTTATAGAACAAACATCTGGTTCCTTATTAGATATCCTTATTAATAGGTTCCTTATTCCCTTATTTCAAGATAATGCTGTATCTCTTTTGAAAACACAAACAACATTTATCACCTTTTAACTATTTCTAAATTTCTATAAAAATTTCCCTGCCAAGCAATTCTTCCATTGAATCAAACATGAAGTTGAACTTCCTATCTGGGTAGGAAGGCAATCATGCCCTACTCCCAACTGATTCAAGATTGATAATTTACATGTCATCGATTTAAAATTTTTATGTATGAAACTCTTTTTTTTGTAATTTTTGAAAATTACTTAAAAAATCAAACATAATTATAAAATTTAATTTGATAATTCTTGTAATATAGACAGGTTGGAGTGTTCCTGTAGAATTAGTGATTGGTGCTGAAGTAGGAATAAGTTTTCTAACAGATCCAAATGCGTCAGTAAGTTTTTTTTATATTGTTAGTGTTAAAGTAACATCTCTTGTAAAAAATTGTTACATAAAAATTTATAATCCTAAGTGTGTTTATTAGCAATTAAAAACTTGAATTTAAAAATTAGGTTACATTTATGCATTCATTGTTTTTAAGTCAAAAATGTCTGAGTTGGAATTTTTTTTTACAGATAGTTTTAATCTGAAGTAAAAGCGAAACTGTAAAAGCTATTCCGTGCTTATGATTGTCTAAATTTTTTTTTCTGCTTAGTTTTTTGTGCACACTTAATTGCTTCTATTGACTGTTGAAACGGTTAGAGTTTAATTACTTTTAGTTAAGCATCAAAGTTTTTCTAAAGTTTACTTTCCTTAAGCAATGTATGCACACAATTTCTTACAAAAACATGTAACTAATGAAATCTTTATTATAAACTATATAAATTTAGAAAATGCATATAGATGTATATAAGTTGCATACATAAGATTTGAAATATTCTGAATATTATTAGGGAATATTTCAGTTATATATATATATAAATTATGAAAAGTTATATAAATATGTAAGTTATAAAAATGTCATAGAAAATGTCTTACTCATAAATTAGTATAAGGAAAAATATTGTAATTAAAAGAAATTTATAAGTAAGAAATTTTCAAATGCTCAGTAAATATTTTAAGAAGCGTTTGAATAACAAATCAAAGGGAAACAAAAATAAAAATAGAAATCACAGTTTTAAAATATAAGAAAATTTGTTAACTGAATGTTGTTAATTTAATAATTTATACAAGTGAGAGAAATATTTTTGAGAATTGATAAAACTTTTAAATCGTTTCTTACTTATGGCAATAAAGGGAAAAAAACTGTATAAAAAATATTTGAGCTCTAGATACTTCTATATTTTTAAATTTGATGTTATATAATTATACATATAAAATATTTATTGTGCTAGTTGTATTCACAGTTTTTTATTTGAGCAATATTTTTGTATTTATCATAATTATTAATTACAGCCCACACACATGGCTAGTTTCCAAAAGGTGCAAAAAATTTCTACTTTAATATCATCTGATGTGAATAGTGGAAATAAGCATGTCCTGCATTTGAAAATAGATGGAGCTTCTGAGGTATGCATTTCTTTCTTTCTATTTCTCTTTCTTAATTTATTCAGTTCAAATGTTTCTATAATTAAAAAAAAAAATTTGTTTATATTTTGAAACTAATTTATCAATGCTATTGAACCTTTAGGTCATCTGTATAAGTTCATTTGCAAAAATTAGTGATGATTTCTCAAAAAATGTTCATTATTAGGTTGCATGTAAAGATTTTTTTAGGCAATTCAGTTAATGCTTTAAATTTTTTATTACTTACTTTTGTTAACCATTTTTTAAAATTCCTTTTATGGAATTATATTGTGTTTATTTTTTTATTTTATTTTGTTAGAAATTAATAAGTGTTGATGAATATTTGTCAGTTCTCTTCTGACAAGTAAAGTACCAAAACCATCACTTCCTTCTGGAGCTGAAATTTTGTAGTGAAGTAATCTGTGAAACATTTTTGTTTATATCAAAGTAATTATAAAGCTATAGACTGTTATAAATTGCCTGCAAATTTCTATTTTTAAAATTAAATTACTACTAAATTTTAAAAATCTCTTAATGAGTAATATATAAAACAAANTATATAAAAAGAAAATATTAGAAATTTTTTTAAAAAATATTAAAAAAAAAACAAAAAAAAATCCAGAAAACAAAATATAGAAAAGATATAATCTTGTCATCAACTCACACAATTAAATAAAAGAAAGTGCTTTCTAATATTGTATTAATATAGCTAAGGAAAAGTATATCAATATAATAGTGTGAGGAGCACCAAAAATGTTTTTGCTACATTCTAATTTGTTGATACATTGTAATTTCTTTGTTTTTTTTATCTTAAAATAAACACTAATAGTGCATTTGTGTTTAAAACTCAATTTTACCTATTGCACCTTTAATTCTCATACAATTGTTGATTTATAACTTATCTTCAATGATATGATTTTTTTAAAAAATGGTTTTGCAATAATGCTTTTTTAATAATATAATATGACTGAAAGTGACATGATTTATAAAAAAAATATTGTTTTACTTTAACCATGTAAATTAAATATAGTTTTTTGAAAATTGACTTTTCTTTTCACAGATGCTAAGCATATCATGCTCATCTGCATCAGTTCTTGAAAATATTGCTAGTTTAATCGATGGCCATTGTCAACTAGTACATGGAACCAAAGTTTCATTTTGGAGTCATAGAGGTATATAATAGTTTTTTTAAGAGTAGCCTGTGTCTTTATTGCTAAACATGCACTGAATTACTTCAATATTCTTTATACGTTTTTAAGTATGTTGAATACTACTTTGAATAGTGTTTTAGAATTAATTTAAAATGTATATTATAGCTTGAAAATTGACTCATTCTTTTTTGTAAATAATTAATAAATACCTAAAAATTATGAGCATGTAGTGAAAATTTATATCTATACTATGATATTCTTCATATCTTTATTAATTTGTTTATTAATATGTTTTATTATTTCTTTCAGGTCACAAGATTTCAAAAATGAGGTATGTAAAAAAGGAGGTAATTTGTATAAGTAAAGGCTAAGCAAAACTTAAGTTATTCCATACAATCAAGTATATAAATGTTATTCTAGATTTTAAACCTATTTAATATCGTTTAAACACTAAACATTTGCCTAAGAGGCCATTACTCTGGGCAGTTTTGCTAAGTTAAGATATTGTAACATTTTATACTCCTGTGATTCCTAAACTTTGTACAATTTTTTTATCCCTTTTCTATATTTTAACAAAAATGAAATACTTATCTTAAACAACACTCTATTTATATGTATATATAGATTTTTTCTTCATTTGTTTGAAATAAATGAAGGGAATATAAAATATATGTTTTTAACTTATTTTTAGCTTGTCTCTTTTTTTTTAATTTTTTTTTTTTAATTTTTTACATTTAAAGCAGGTGATATTATCAAAATTTGTTTTTATAACGTTCTTTAAATAATGAATTCCCTGACCTTAAATATTAAAAATGTGGCAGTTATTAAACTATTTATTTGCATGAAGAAGTTTATATTTTTAATTTGATCATAAAAATCAGTTCTCTTTCTGGCAGAGCTTTCTTTTTATTATTGTTTAAAAAAAGATGTAGAAATAATATTTTAATGTTCCTATTTCATAATTTTACTTGAAGGACATTTTAGAAAGATTCCTTTATGATTTAGTGTATTACATATTACACACTCTACAGAATGGAATCAACCGTACATTGTACCAATCATTTGATGTAGAATATGCATAAGTGCTCATTGTTTATTTATATTCTATTTATATTTGCAGATAAAGTTATTCCTTAAAAATTATAATGCCAGCAAAATCTAATGCATTTTTTAGTTTTTTTATATACCTTTTTAAAGTTTAATGCTTTAAAATCTTTTTCACTTAGTTTTTAAATAAATAAAACTTTTTTTAAAAAAGTTTTTTTTATTGCAATATGCTATGTGCAGGTCATACTTTTTCATATTCTTAAATATTATACAGAGTATAACAAATGATATGTTGAAAATTAATATATACAGGAGTTGAATTTGTGTAAGTATTTTTGAAAAAGGTGGTGTAGTTCTACATAATTCCTTATTGTATTTTTTATAACTGTTTATTCATTCATTTCCTTTGAAAGATGGTGTAAAACATATATCTATTATTGAAATTCAACTGTGCTGCTCTCTAATCTCTTTGGGAGTAATAAAACAAAAATTATTTAAAGAGCATTATAAGTAATATGTACATATTTAAGTAAATAAGGGTTAAGAAACAAAACTTGCATATATTTCTATAAAAAAGGGTTTTAAGATAGCATAATCATGTATCTTATTTCTCGAACATAATCTTTATATTTTCTCTTAGAGGAAGTGCTAAAAGTAGTCCAACTCCTATTAGTCCTCGTAACAAAAAGTCCTTCAAGTTTGGAGGTAACTATATGTTTTCTAATTTTGAAATTAATACCATAATATTCGAATTATAAAATCCTCTTTTAACTGAACAATACTCATGAGGTATTTTAAAACAGTTTATGCTGTAGCTCTGAGTAATTTACTTTGTTTAAAATAGTTTTTTAAACCTTGCTAATTTTATTAGTCCTAGGGCAGTGGTGGCAAACCTATGGCACACAAGCTACTAGGTTGCATATGACTAATACTTTGGTTGTACCCAACACATATAAATGAAATTACTGCAAAAGCTGGTAGTAAATCATTATAAAATGTTTCATAGACATTACTAAAATTTTGAGTTTCATATAAGCATGAGCTATAAATAATCACTAGTTCTCTTTTTGTATAGAACCTCAGTGAAGCAAACTTCTAATGTGCAATAACATCCATAGAAAATTCATTGTGGACAGAGTCTTCACAGATGTGACGAATTTTTTAAGTGAAATTATACATTTATTGTAGAATAAGAAAAAGAAATTTCAGAACTTACAGATTTAAATTATTGATGCAATTTAATATTTTTAAGGACTTTACAGCTTTATAAAATAATAATTATTATAAGGAAATAATAATAAGGAATTGCTAAGTAAAGGGCAAATTAAAAATAGATTGTTTGAGATTTTAAAATCCTTAAAATGCAAGTTTCTTATAAGATATTGAAAAAAAAAGTGAAAATATTATTTTTTGTTTAAAAGGCATTTTGAATCGATAATACATTACCTTAAAAAACAGACAAAAAGTACTTGAAAGTTAGATATTAAAAAACTCAGATGAAATAGTACAAGCATGATTTTTCTCAATTTCAGAATTTGCACAAAACACTGCAGTTTGTTTTAAGACCTCAATTATGAAAAATTAATATTAGGTGATATTTTTTTAATTGTTGGCTATTGACATTTTGGAAATGGAATTAATAAAATTGTATAAAAATTCTATGCAGGTAATTAAATATGCTAACTTGGTGAAGCATTAGAAAAATTTGAGTGTGCATAATGCATGCATTTCTTTCAGAAACCAGGCACTTTAAACTTTCAAAGGAATGCTTGAGTAGTGAACATATGTCTTTTAATATGATATTGCATATTTCTTTAATATATTGAATGAACAAATTTTAGAATGGAAAAAGAACATTAAGAAATTCTTTTTGAAGAGGTAACCATTTTTTAAAAAGAGCATTAAGGATTATCTTTTAAAGAGAAAATCATTATTTAAGTGAACAAAAATAAAGGCAAATTATAATGATTTAAATTGTATTGATGCATCTAAGGTTTCATACTATAAAAAATTAACTTCTCACATACATTACTACAATCAAGGGCATTTGCTTTAAGACACTTAACATATCCTAATATTGAATTGAAATATTTTTGAAATACTGTTATTCAATTTACATATTACACAAATAAATAATTAATCAGGAAATATAATTACAAAATATAATTGAATAGCTGAAATCAAAGTATAGATTTATAGATGATTTTTAAAATGAAATGTAACAAGTGGCACATAGGACACCTAAATGAAGTGAACTGTATTTTAAAATTGCACATTGCTTATAATTGGTTTGAATCCCTGTCCTAGCGATAACGAAAGGTTTAAAAATATTTTGAATCTTTCATACAAAACAAGAATGCAATGTTAATATTTACTATTAAAACTTTAATGTTGTATTTAAATATTTTTTAAAGCTAAAATGATAAAGTGTGACTAAAATGAAAATCAAATCAATCATCAAATGTTCTCATTTGTTATGCATGATTTAAATTCAAATTAGTGTGTTACTTGAACAATTTTAAATGTTTCTTTGAAAATATTACTTTTTTAAGTTATTTATTTTTCAATCATTGTTCTTTAGATCCCTTGAGATCTGCATCAGCGTCTACTTACTTGCATTGTGAATGTTTTTCATTATTTTTTTTAAAATTTTGAAAATGAATATAGCTTATTTTAAGCTGAATTTTTCATTGCACATATTTTGTTGTGAAATAAATTGAAACTTAATTAAAATTTTTGATTTTTTTTTTTAATATTAAAAAATTTATTTTTTTGACCTACAAAAGTTTTTGAAACTAGTGCTGTAAAAGAAAATGTTTCTTTGATTAAGAAAATATTTATTTATAAATTATTGTGTTTAGAATGAAATTCTGTTGTTTCAGAATTTAAAAATATCTCTTTAGAGAATATATTTTTAAGTGCTGAATGTGTACAAAGTGATATAAAATGTTAATAACCCTTATATTTTCTGTTAATTTTTTTGGAAATCATTTATGTGAATTTTATACTATTTTATTTTATTGCACTGCTTATCTATGATTCTAATTTTTATTTTTTTTAAATGTTATATTTCATTAGATGATTATGCTGAAATAGTTGAAGAAGAAGGGGACTATTCAACACCAATAGGTTGGTGAATCTTAGAAATTGTTTGTATTTTTTGTTTGTAGTTTACATTTGCCCTTGTTTATTGTTTTTTTTTAAAAATTATTTTCAGTTGATTTTGTTTTGTAAGTTTTAGTTTAAGTTCAAATGAAATCCGAAGTTAATATTTGATTGCACTATGTGTCTGTGTAATACAGTAAATATTTTGTTTTACCCTTATTGAAAAGTTTTAATGCTTGACATCTAAAATTCATAAAGTCTATTTTTAATATTCCAGTTTTTATGTTTTTTTTTCTCAATTTTTCCATTCACTCTATATGATAAAAATAATGCTAGTAAGTAATTATACTAATGAAAAATATTATACTATTTATGGAAAAACAGGAAATGATAAATTTTCAATGAACTGTAGCAAAAATTAATCATTACTGATTCTTTGAAAACAATTTAAGTAATAAAAAGTTAATTATTATCATAGTTTAATAATTTTGTATTTTATAATTGTCCCTATATACCCGTAATTTATCTGTGATTCTGTTTATTTATAACACATCAACAAATGTCTTTTCCATAAAATAGCAATTATTGTCAAAGGGGCTGTTTTAAGTTTTCTTTGAAATCGCTATAGAGAGGGCTTTTTATGGTTTTTCTCTTTATTATCTAACTGTGTGCTTTTGAAAATATATATTAAATACATAAATATTTATTGCTGTACAACATTAGTTAATGATAAATCTAATATTTCTATGTGAGAATAATTAAGAAATAAGGTCTTTTAGTTAATTTATACATTTCACTTATTATTTAACTTAATTGAAAGAATATTTAAGTAGAGTGTATATTTATTATAGACTATTTCGGAGTATAGTATACTTATTATAAAATTTTCCTTTCATATGACAGGTATCACTTTCAACATATGCAAATTGAGCCTAATTCAGAATTTATCAAAGAATATTTCAAATTTAAAATAGTATGTAGTAAATGTTGAAAATTGTGATTCTTTTGTAGCTTTGAGAAATATTTGTCTCATCAAAGTTCATGCTTATCTCTTATGTTCTAAAGAATTTTCATTATTTGCTTTTTCTGTTATAAATAGTCCTCAGATGCATGTTATTTAGTTTGCAAGAAAAAAAGTTTTAAATTATTTTTATTCGTCTTGAAATCAAAAGATGTAATGAATTTCAATTGCATTGAACATTTTAATACTTTTGTTTCACTTAATTCTTTATAAGATGTGAGTCATTTAAACAACCTCTGTCTAACTGTTACAATGAGGGGATTCTTATAAAATTGTACTAAGTCCTAAGACAAGCACCGGAAATATTAAGCTTGCAGAAATATTATATAAGAAATCAAGCTAAAATTTTATTGATCTTAAATCTGTTATTGCAAGAAGATATTTTTTAAAAATAATTTAATTTGTTTTATGCAAATGGAAAGATATTATTTACAGTTTAACTGTAAAGATTTGACTGGATAAAAACTAATGAAAAATATTTGTATGTAATAAATACAGTATTAGTTTCTTTCCTATCACGCATGCCAGGAGAATGGCATTTTTTATTTGTTTGAAGTGGGAAACAATAGTATACTTATTTCATTTTTAAAATGTATATTATAATGAAAATAGTCAGGAGAAAATAAACACTAAACAGTTTCACTTACACTTCTGTTGTTTGAATTCAGAAATAGATTCATATATTATTTGCAAATTCTTCAAAGTATGGGGGTTGCAATGACTACTGATTAACACTCCTTTTCTTTTATGCATTTAATTCAGAAAAAAATCATTTAGGACTATTTATAATATCTAAATATCAACTAAAGCAGTTTTTGATTTTTACTGTAATTTAATTCTATGGAATATTGAAAATCATAATGAATACAAAATAAAAGATAATACTGATTATATAAATATGTGTCCCTAAAAATAAAAACTAAATGTATTTCTCAAAATCTAATTTATAATGAAATAGCTTCATTAAATTATTTGGTAGCATTGATAAACATATTGCTTTGAAAAGACCCTCAAATTAAAGATGATATATGCTGTAAGTATCAATAGAAATCTAAATAATACTAAGAATTTAAAAATTTTGATTGTAACTTGAAATAATTTAGTAAGGATGTACTATTTTGATCCCATTTTTGAGAAAGACTCTGGAATGTAGCAAACATTTCCTTTTGTTTTGATATCTTAATGAACATTTCTAATTATAATCCATATTGCAGTAAAAAACTATGAATTGCTAAGGACTGATGTATTACTTGGAGAAATAATTGGAGAAGGGCAGTTTGGTGATGTGCACAAAGGTACTTTTGTATCTAAAGTAAGTAATAGATTTATAATACTTAAGTTTATAAGTGAGGTTAATATTTTATAGTCTAATTAATAATTAGGTTACTTATTTTTACAAAGCCTCACCATCTCATTTTATTTAAAAGATCATCTACATTTAGTTTTATTTTTGAATTGAATTTAATATTTTAAATTTAATGAGAGATAACCTAAAATGTTTAATCACAATTAACTACATTATCATTATTTGTGCAAATTTGTAAAGTAACATTTGGCTGATTAGTCTTAAATTTTACCTATGTAAAATATTTCTTATAAAGCAAAATAAGGATTTTTTATTTAACCAATGAAAATTCTAGAAAAAGAATATTACTCAAATAGTATAGCAATTTTGTATTATATTTCTGCATTTAAGGAGATATGTAATAAAGAAAAGATTACATTTTCCTCAAAAGTTTTTTTTTGTTACTATTTATCATATATGTACTTATTATGTTTTTCTTACTAGATTAAAATTATCTTTGATTTTGTAACTAAATATTTACTCATAGCTTATGTATTTTACTTATTACCCCGTCTTTTCTGTAAACATGTTCCTTTTTATAAACTTATGTCCTTTCTCATTTCAATAACTAGCTTAGTTTATCACATATTTCCAATGAAATAAATTTAAACTGGGAAGTAATATATAGCTTATTGGGAATATAATTAAATTTATTTAGGAAGTCTATATTTATTTTTAATATTTCAAAATGATACATTTAATTTGGATTTGTACTTTATTATTCAATTCCCTTATTAAAAGTACCGTAATTGTTTTCAAATGAAACAATTTCGGTACTTTTAATAAGGGCAAAATACAGGAATCTAATCAATATTATTAGCTATCTGTATGCAATATTTTAATTTCTTTTTGTTAAATACATTAATTAAAGATGTAGTTGATTTCTCAACATTCACTTGTTGTTTTTAGATTTTTAAATATTCTATTAATTTAAATATATTGGTTTTAGCAAATTAGTAGATTTAAAGTTAATAGATTACCTTAAGTAACCTAGTCCATTAGCTTGTTTCTATTAAGAGCTAGATAGTAACAGTTTTGAAAGCAATTTTTGCATGCACATGTATATTTTCTATTACATGTTATAGAATTATGTTTTATTATTATATGTTTCTATTACATGTATATTTTCTATTGTTTTTAAGGATAGTCTAACCTTATTAGTGGCAGTGAAGACTTGTAAAATTGAAAGTGAGGAATCTATGGGAGAAAAGTTCTTAGAAGAAGCATGTATGATATGATTTCATTAGCTATTCTTGGAAATATTTAATGTTTTAGTCCTGTTAATTCACAATACACTCCAATATTTTAGATATAATGCAACAATTTGATCATCCGCATATTATTAAGCTTGTTGGGATTTGTTCTGATTCTCCTATTTGGATTGTCATGGAATTAGCTAAGCATGGGGAGGTAATTATTTAAATTTTATGTAATGTTTCATGAGCAAAATCACTCTATTTTTCTGTTATATATATATACATATATATATAATATATATTTAAATNTATATAAATTTGCAAACATATGAATATTAAACAATTTTAAATTATTGTATGAAATTAAGATTGTTGCTGTCGACAAAAATACCATTGTTGGGCAACTTCTAGCATATTGTATGTAAAAAATGAATTATATTTATTTACATTTTATAATTCATTTATAATGAGTCATATACATATTATCTATATGACTCACGTATAAAACAATTTCTTGTTTGTATAAGTTGTGTGTCTGCTCTAATTTAAAAAAAAAAAAGGAAAGACATCCAGATCCAATAATTTGCTAATAAGTTTAAAGGCTGAGCTTTAAGCTCTGTTAGTTGTTAAGAATGTAATTTATTACTTATGATTGGCTCTTAAAAGTATATGATTTAGAATAAGTTTTATTTTTAATAATTACTACTTTAGGAGACTTATAATTCTATATGTTTTCATTGCAGATGCGAGCTTACCTACAGAACAGCAAAAATCAACTCGATTTAGCTACTCTTATATTGTATGCTTTTCAACTGAGCACTGCTTTGTCATATCTGGAAAGTCGAAAATTTGTGCATAGGTAATGAATAATAGAAATAGCAAAGGAGAATATTACTAGCAATTTTATGATTGGAATCCAAAATAAATGATATTAAGTTCCTGTTTTAAAAGCATTTTCTAGTTTAAAGATAAAAATAAATGAATTAATATTTTTTGATCTGGTCGCAGTTTGACTTATACTTTTTTTATTTGCAGACAGAGTACAACTTTAGTCTAAACTTATTTTTGTTTGTCTAGGATATACCTTAAAATATCTTAAAGTATCAAAATAAGCTAAAATTGAATTTCAGCAGTATTTAACCTGAGCATAAATGAGTAAGAATTTCTTATGTCTTATAGCTTGTAACATGAAAGCATATTCATAAAAGAGATTTTGTTATACTTTTAAATTAGTCCAATACAAGAATGATAGAGTACACAAAATTTTTCATATATATAGAATTATTCGTATTTCACCTCTAAATACTGAGCACTATATTTTGGTTGTATTTGTTTTTTTCATGATTCATTAACATTATGAATATAATTGAAGTAATTTATATATTTTTTTAGGGACATTGCTGCTAGAAATGTTTTAGTTTCTTCACATGATTGTGTTAAGCTAGGAGATTTTGGCTTGTCTCGTTGGGTTGAAGAACAGCACTATTATAAAGCATCTAAGGGAAAATTACCTATAAAGTGGATGGCTCCTGAATCTATAAATTTTCGCCGTTTTACCACTGCAAGTGATGTATGGATGTTTGGTAAGCTAACTGAAAATAATTGGCTCTTTATTGGTCTTTGTTTCTCAATGTATTTTTCTATTTAATGTAAATTATTTATAAACTTATTTAAGTATAACCTTTTCTATGTGTGATTCATTTTTATTTCACATATTTTTAAATAATAAATAATTTCAATTTTTGTTCAGGTGTTTGCATCTGGGAGATTCTTATGTATGGTATAAAACCATTTCAAGGTGTCAAAAATAATGACGTCATTGGAAAAATTGAAAATGGTGAACGATTACCATTGCCACCTAAATGCCCACCTCATTTATATAATCTGATGTCTCTTTGCTGGTCATATGAGCCATCTAAAAGACCTAGTTTTAAAGAAATAAAGCGAGTCTTAGGGTAAATATTTGTTCTTGGAATTTTGAAAATATTGATAGTTTTGTTTAGAACTCAGATCTATTTTATTATTTTAGGGACTTAATATTTCTCTTCCAGCATTAGGGACTTAATATTTCTCTTCTCAGCTCTTTTTATCCCAGAATTACTATTTCATCTTGCTGTAGAAATCTATTAAACTTTTGTCTTGTACCTGTACATTTTAAAATATGATCTAAGCTTTCAGAAATATGATTTTCAAAATTCTGTTATTAGGAACAATAGCAGAACGAAATATATAACATGAATCCCTTATGCATATATGACTGATTCAAAACTTTTTTCTTTTGTATAATTTTTTTTTCTTTAAGTTTGTAGAAAATTGAAATTTTATATTATGTATACAAGAGAGTATTTTGAGTTATTTAATTTTATAATTATGTTGCAGTGATATACTAGAAGAAGAAAGAACTCAACTGGAAGAAGTTATGCGGAGAGAAAACCGAAGAATTCAAGCCATGTCATGGGGTAAAATATTTCAACTTGAACATAGTTATTGTAGTTAAAAAGATAGCATGTCTTTCCAAATAAACTTAATAACTCGTTTTATAGACTTCAAATAGATGTTGAGGGAAATATGGCTAGAAATCTAACCAAGTTATTAAAATTTTTTTGTAGAATGAGGTGTTACTTACTCTTCCAACTTGAGATTGAGCAATAATTACTTATTGCAAAATACCTTTAAAAATTCTCTTAAATAGGCAAGTACTAAATTAAATTAATTTGAGAGGGAAAAATTACTTTGTAATCAACAGGCAGAATTCCTGTGTTTCAAATCGCCAACTTGCAACTGATTCAAATCAGGATTTGGATTAACTGCACTGGATTCCACACCTGTAATTGAAAGATTTAGGGTTTTACTAGCCACAAACTCTTAAATTTTTTCTTACTTGTTAAAATATTTAATACTTTTTGAAAATCATAGTTACATATTCAAACAAATAACTGCCAAAGTGTTAAAGAATTCACTATATGTTTTATATGAACAGAGTATTTATCAATTTATAATCAGTTCTATATTGTTTTTCTTTTATATAGGATCTTCTTGTTCAGACGAACCTCCTCCAAAGGTATTTATAATATTATGTTTTGTTTTCTCTAATTAAAACGGTTAACAATGTTCGAATGTATTATAGTACTTCTAAAAAAATAACTCTTTATGCAGACTTATTTTCTTTATATATATGCATGCTTTTTTTTTAATAATCCTTAATTAGTTTTTGATTTATAGTTTTGGAATAATAGAGCACTGATATAAAGTTTATTTTCATCATGTAAAAGTACAGTGAAGATGATTGTATTAATTTTGTCTTTCTCATATTTATTCATTGAATGTCGTACATTTTGTCCTACCAAAGTTACACGATAAAAATTGTGTACTTTTTTCAAATAGCAGTTTTTATTTCACCAACTTAGCTATATGTCAAATAACACTCAAATGATTGATAAAATTCTTTTATTATTTTATAAGAGTAATTTAGTAATCCATGTAGTAGTCAATGAGATGTTTGATAATGTTTGTTAGTCTATTTTAAAATTTCAAACGCAAAACCTTTTGTATTTCTACTGGGTAAATATATCTGATATTGGATACTATATTTATTTTGTAGAAGTGATTGCATTCAAATTACTTTTATTGAAGCATAATGTCAAAAGTATCTTTTATCTGGAAATTATTAGTTTATGAAAAGCCTTAAATCTTGAAAAAGGCATGCCAGTAAATAATGATAAGTTTTTATGTACTTCTTTTAATTATGTGGCTTGGTTTCTTGTTCCAACAATCATTTTACCAAACAATCATTCGTTAATTACTTATCTGAATATTGTATTAACCCTTTGACAATAATATTGCATGTTGACCTGCATTCATATCTGCTTGGTAAACCAGTTTTTTGTGGTTATTAGATAAGGAAACTGTATTGTAAAGTAACCTTAATTTTCACATTTTCTGAACTGACTGTGGGTTAATAAGAGTTCTTATTTTGTATTTATGCTCTTTTCTGTTTAAAAATTCAATCTATTCTTTCTTTTATATCTTGATTAGTAGTAACGTTTACTTTTTTTAATTTGCTATTGCCTCTTTCTAGCCAGCTCGGTTTCCTGTTGAGAGAATTAGTACTTCTAGTTCTCCACCTTTTATGGGAAGCCATTTAGGACATTTCTCGTTTTATATGCCTCAAGCTTCAGACACTCTGTACATGGAGTCCACTGAAACATTAAATCCAAATTATAAATCATGGAAGCCCGCAGCCCTTCCAGCTGGGCATAAACCAGTAAATAAATTTTATGAATTTCTATTTTAAAAATGCTATTTTTGGTAATCAAAGTTTAAGACAGACTTGCATTTTTAATTAATTAAATTACAAAGAAAGTTTATTTTAACAGTTTTCTTTTACCATGCTTATATATGCTACCGTAAAGATTTTTAAATATTTTTGTACAGATTGCATCTATTTAAATATCTATGTGAATTTAGCATTAAAATAAAACATGATTAATATTCTGTTTAAGGAAGAAAAAATGTATCATATGATAAGCCTAGTTCATTTTCTAAAGAATGTTGTCTGAATATAGCACTTTAGTTACTTAGCAATAGTTTTACAAGATAACATACTTATTTCGTAAGCATCTGCTTAATCAAAATTTTACTCTATGCAATATGTTTAGCAATAGTTTTACAAGATAACACACTTATTTCGTAAGCATCTGCTTAATCAAAATTTTACTCTATGCAATATGTTTTTATTTAGATTTTATATTCTTCAAACGCATTGTTTGTATAAAAGAATATCTAACAGAAGAAAAAAGATCAAAATTAAGTTAAAAATATTATCAATGTACATGTATGTGTACTATTTTATTCAAAGCTGCATTATTTATAAGCATATTATTGTACTTAAGCTTCACTGTGATAAAATAAATGGCAAAAAGTATTTTAATTGTTATTTATTATTAAATCATTACTATTGAGACATTCTTTTACTTCATTATTTTCTCCTATACGTTTGACATTCTTAGCCCTTTTTATCACTACATTATTTTTATTTTTTTTTAATTGAAACAAATTTATTTCGGTGAATATTTCTGCTCTTTTGCGTATAAATTTGTATTGATTCAACTGAAAGGAAGGGGAAAAAACAAACAAACAAGCAAAAGTTCAATCTATTAAGTAAATTGATACTAATGATATAAATTGTATACTGCTAAATAATATTAAATAGTGCTGTAGAATGATGTTTTATCTATACAGACAAGCGAAGGAACACTCATTCTTTTACATGTATGACTAATACAACATTAGGTATTATTTGCAAGTTATGAGGAGTTGTAAAGAAACACAAACACATGCAAATTCTTCAGCTATTCTTTTTTTTTTATCATGTTATTGTATTTATAGTATGGAAATGGATATTTTAATTGTTTATTGAAAATATTAATTTTTGAAAAAGTCTTAATGAATTACTTTTTAATGGTTTAATTAAATATACTTAATAACATTAAGTAAATTATATTTTATTCAAGTTTTTAGTAATGTATTGACAGGATCACCGTATAAATGAAACTGGTGAAAAATTAGAGAAAAAATTCATGGAAGTCAAACTTCAGGAACAGCAAAGAGAATCTGAAGAGGACTCCCGATGGCTTGCAGCTAATGAATCGCAATTCACTCCTTTACCTGTAAGTTATTTTTAAGGTCACACATTGTTTTGCAAATGAAAACTGTTTTGTCCTTATAAATGTGTCTGTATTTGAAATTGTTTTCATTAGGCTGCCTTCTTCAGCTTAATGAAAAAAACTAAAAGCCTTTAATGAAATGCAGGTTCCACAATCCTATTTCTAAATGAAAATTTGGTACTTGCAATTGTTGCTTTTTAAGAATAAATTTGCATTTAATCAATAAATGTTTCTGAGTTAAGTTTTTAAGTAATTGTGACTGAGGTAAATGTTCTAAAAAAGATTATGCATTTTAATACTATATATATAGATATTTCAAGCAAACATATATTTCCCTAGAAATGTTTACAGACTACATTGTTAAAATTTCATATTTAATTTATATTTTGCTATTTTAGTTAGTTCCAAATCCATTGTTTAAGAAATTTCCTTGTTTTATTTTGAAGTTTTTAGAACAAAACGATACAAAATAACTAAAAAGGTAGTTAAAGGATTTTAATTATTTTCACTCTTAATAGTACGAGATATTGAAGGTTTGACATATTAGCTTCCTTATGAAAAGATCTTTCCTTATGAGTCATTTCAAAGTGGATGAAATTTTTCTTTTTACCCACATTTTTATAATACAATACAGCTTATATTTATATTCAGAATAGTAATTAGTAAGTGCCTTTAAGGTAAATTATTTAATCCTAGGTAGTAATTCATAGTGTCAGAGGAAGAAAAAAAAACTGAAATATTTTCTAACGTATATTCTAAAAATTTGTAAGGAAACTATAAGTAATGTTTCAAGTTAATTTCCAAACACTGTCAATGACTGTTCTGACACATTAAGCATATTTAAATTACAAATTTATTTTTTTTAACAATGCCTACTTTTTTAAAAATAATTCTAATAGTTTTACATCCCACTTAGAGCATAAACCTTCAAATTGAGTGTAACTTTTTGTTACTTACCTTGTTTAACTATTGAAATTGCTCATAAACTTTATTTTACTTTAATCTTGAATACAAATCTTGATTAAGGAGAATAAAATTTGTTTTTTCATGTTTACTTGCATTTACAATTTTTCCTATAGAACTAAACCCTTTTAAAATTCACTAAATGTAAAATAAAATAAAGTGAAACAAATTTCTAGTTATAACTTGTTAATCAGCATTTGATAATCAGATGTTTTTCCTTCTGATTTTTTTTTATTTATTTAATATTTTATTTTTAAGCATTTTTACTGAATGTTTTCTGAACTGCCTAACTGTGTTATATGTTTTTGTTAATGTTTTATGTTATATGTTTTGTTATTTGTTTAACCATACGCTGTAAGCTTATTTTATTTCCAGTTGCTTTATTTCCACTTTTGAAGAAAATCTTGGAAAAACAGTAATATGTATTTCATACATATTCTTAAAAACATTTAATTAAAAAATTTTATTCAGGAGTAATTTATTGTAGTTTCTTTCCCCCTATCAATATCAATTTTTTATCAGTTAAAATATGTAAATAAAGTTACTATCAAATTTTACATTTATGAATTTAGAGTGTTATCTTGTCACTGGACTTTTTATTCTGGACACAGCTCAAAATGTGTGCTTAAGAAAATGGACACAGCCTTGCATATTTAAGAAAATAGATTCAATAGATGAGCCCTTTCAATGTTCCACTCAAATTTAACTCTTAACCAAAGAATTTAGTCCTTTCGTTTTAAATCATAATCATTACAAGGCAAATGGGGTAAGATTAGCAGCGTATTATATTACAGATGTGACTTTTCAAGTGATCTCTTTGTATTCTGATTACTAAATAATAGTGGTCTTTATAAATCAAAATTTAATACCACTATTATAAATTTTTAAGACTCAGGTCAACCTTATAAAACAGCAGTTTTCTTTTATAGTCTTTTTGAAAAAGATCACTTTAAAAAAATTTACTGATTAATTTAAGCAAATGGTAAGAATTAAACTGAATCTATTAGTACTCTTTAAAAAAAAAAATAAATGCCCTATCCATGTTTAAATAGCTATGCCAATTTTTTTAAATGCAGTTTTTAGCAGTGTCCATTTCCTTAAACACTCATTTTAACTATGTTCAGAACAAAAAGCTCACAGACAATAACTGATATGCAAGATTTCCTCGATATTCACTTTGATTTTGTTTTAGCAAACAAAAAGTCAACCTTCTTCTGGCCAGCATTGTAACTCCCAACAATTTGTGTTCCCAACTGAATTGGGTATTGTATAAATTCTTTATTGACATTATTAAATGATTTATTTACATTATATTATTTTGCAAATATACTAGGAGCTATTGTTAATTTAACTGGAATGTGAATAATTTGATGAAACAATGTATGAAAAAAATCAAATTTAAGTCATTTATAAATTGGATTGCATTTTTCATTTTTAGATTTTCATAGAAAAAAAATTTTTTTTTTCATAAAATATTTAAAATTTTATTATATTTTTATGCTCTATATTATAAATATGAAGCTTTTTAAAGTGTATTAATATGTGCAGCATTACACATATTAGTATTTTAATGTATCATTAAATTTATTTTAAAAACATAAGTCTTCTCTTTTAGCTTAATCATCTTGTTTATTTGTTTTAATTTTAACAAGTATAATCCTCCCTGAAGAACTAAATAATAAAATTTATGTAAGTAAGTATTGTAAAACTGTTAGCATACAAAGTTAGTTGTGCAAACCTTTCATTTGTTTAAGTTAAAATCATGTGTAATAGTATTTCATTGCATGCAAGTGAAAGCATGGAAATAATTTTCAATTCATCTCAGTCTTTTTGAATATCTATGATGCTAATTCAGTTAAGTTGAATGGATTCATAAAGGCTTCTATGGCTAAAAATTATCTGCCTCAATAGTTTTGATACATTTCTTTCTAGCATACTGCTTAAAAATATTAATGACAAAGTTTTTAGTCTGTGTAAATTTTTTTGTCTATTTAACCTCACTTTTTGGTTTTCTTATTACAAGAGGGATTTTAAAACAAGGAATATATTTATCTTTCTTTATTTCAATACCTATTTCTATCATATTAATATACTAAAAGTAGTTGATGGCGCTTATATTTCAGACTCAACTAGTCTTTCAAATGATCAAAATGGTTTTATGTCAGCAAGTAAAGCTTCTTCAAATGTAAGAAAATTATGTCACAATATATATATTTCATTATACATATGTTCCACTATTACGATTCTTCAATTTGAAAAGAGGTTCATTCCATTAAAACATTTTCAGGCTCCTACTGCTGAGTTAGATCGTACTAATGATTCTGTTTACGAGAATACAACCCATGTAGTTCGAGCTGTTATGGGATTATCACAAGGTGTACAGCAGGGAAGAATGGAAGAATATCTTAAATTAGTTAAAGTAAGAATTCAAGATTTTTTTAACAAACGTTTGACGTTTCAGGATGAAAAAAGCTTAACAATTTAGAAAGGAAATTGAATATGTTATAACCTGAATAGTTTATTTGTTATACAACTACATGATTTTTTTTCAGAATTAAGTTTTTGTCTTATAAAAAGAAGATATAGATTTCCATTTTTAGACTCTGAAAAAGTCAGTGTCATTGTTGATTACTATTGAAGGGCAAGATGCATACTGAGAGAGTGAACAGGAAGCAAAAAACTTATAGATAGTGAATTCCCATAAATTTACATTAAGGTGCACACATTACCTCTCTGCATCCTGAAGCAAATGTGTGGGAATTTGCCTCTATATGCCTCTCATTTCTTGTTAGCTCCCTCAGTGTGTGACTAGTTTAAAAATACTGTGTATGAAAACGTTGACCTTAATGCCAATCATTTGAAAATTTCTTTTTCCTTACATACATCCTTTATCTATTTTACCACTTCAGTTATTGGAAATGTTTTCCTCTTAGCTATAAATTACAATTTTTACTGAACCTTGTTGCTATATGATCATTCTTTAAAATTATTAAGAGGTTACAAATTTTGCTAAAAAGGTTTTGGAACCGATTTCAGTAGTGACAATTGTAGTCCTTAGTTGAAAAAGATGTTTTGTTATAATTTTCTTTATAACAGTCAGTGACAAAACAGTCAAAAGCCAAATTGCTACTAATTATGATACATAAATGATTCATATTTCGATGCCTTAAAAATACTCTTTATTCTAATTGGTCTCTTTCTTCTCATAGTTTTTAGCTATAAGACTATTGTTTTCTTTTTTCAAAATTCAGGCTGAATTTAATTTTTTAAAATTTTTTTTAATGATTTCCTTCAATTTACACTTTCCTTTTTGTATTTTAAGTTTACTAAAAAACTTTTTTTGTCTATTAAGTTTTTGTGGTTTGAATTTAAATATTAATGATTATTTTTACCTTTCAGCAAGTGGGAGTTCATTTACGTAGCTTGTTAGCCAGTGTCGATGACATAATTGCAAGCTTTCCTTCTTGGTCTCATAAAGAAGTAATTTGATAATTTTTAAAAATTCTTTTAAAAGCGAAGTGTAATTATTATACTACTTTGTTTGCTCAGACCAGTTATCTGATTTATTTAAATACTCATTATTTAATTCGACGCTTGAAGAAGGTTTAGCATTTAGCTATAAAGTTTTAAAGTGTGCCCTATGTCTCAAATTAAATATTTTCTCCTTCAAACTTTTCATATTACACCACCTCTTAAAATTCTATCAACAGCTAAAATCTATTTCTTATAGTAGGAATAGGAAACACAAGTGTTTCCCTTAACATAAATGGTTTATATCATTTGCATTTTCTGAAAGTTGGAGGTTTTTTAGTGACCTAATTTTTTGATTGGAAGTTTTAACTCTTTTAAGAAATTGTAACTGAATGTGTAGTTTCTAATACTAAACTTGTCAGAGCAGTTTTAAACAAAAAGTTAAATCTGCATAAAGACGCAAAATTTTAGAAATGTTTTAAATTATTATAAATTAAGCTACAATAATAAAAAATCAACAATTAAATAAACTATGAATTAAATAAAAAAAAATTTATGCATATCTTTACTAATTTTACTCTTAAGTTTTATAGTTCTTTGGTTCATTGTTGTTAGTATACCTTATTAAACACTTAACTGGGTTCCACACTTGCTAATAGTCATAGTAATAGCTAATAGTAATACTCTTGCTATTAGTATTAATCCATTCTTGCTGAAGTTTTAATATTCCGTAAAAAATTATAATTAGGTGTAGTACTTCTTAATCAGAATTTAATGCTTTTAATTTCAGGTGTGTTTTGCTAGTTTGAATTGCTGCTAAAACTATCTAAAAAACTAATTTGCGAATCACCTCAATTCCCCATTTTAAAATTCTGATTATTTACTTGTAAAATAAACTGTAAAAAGATAAGTGTACTTAAGAAATAAGATTTGATTACCACTTCTACAAATAGCAAGTAAGTGAGGGTGTGATAAATAGTGGTGTAACACAATAATTAATCAAGTTTTTTCAACCCAATAATAATAAAGAGTCCTAAAAATTTGTGATAGGAAATTAGAATAGATGAAACACCCTAATTACTTGTTTATAATTTTGGGATGGTCCTCCTGTGTGATTTATCATTTTAGAATTGAGTCTCCCCAATGCAACATATTTGTTAAATTGCAATTATATTTGTTCATTCAATCAACACTATGGCAACATAAACATAGGAGTTTTCGGCATTCAATCAACACTATGGCAACATAAACATAGGAGTTTTTGGGGGTTGTTAAAACCCTGGAATTGTCAGGGAATTTGATTTTGTAGATAAAAAAAGACAGGGAATAATGCAATATTTAGCCAAAACCTAAAAGCAACCTTTTTTTTAAAAAAAAAATTGATGGTTTCAATAAGTAGCCAATGAGGTTCAAAGTAAATAAATCTAACATCTATTTTAATTATTTTTTGTAAAAAATAATATGAATTCCTAATTTTTTTTTAAAATTTTCTGTGAAAAATTCTCTGCTTTACACTTGAATTAAAATCAGATATATTTTTAAAAAAATTATGCCTTCTGTTTAAGTTAATTTTCGTTCTTAATCAAAAGTAAGATATATGATGGCTGACTATGTGGCTGATGGGCCTGTTATAAACTATATTATTTTAAATTTTAGTGTAAAATATTGTTTTTATCAATACTTAGATTTTATTATGTCTATATGTTAAACCTTCATGTTGTGTTAATTATTTATTTTATTTTATTTTACAAAATTTAATATGTAGCAAATTTTTTATCAAAAGGTAAGATTCATTGCTTTTTGAATAAGAAAATGTTATATTTTTGATGAAATATTGCCATGTACAGGGGTCGCATTCCCCCTAAAATTCATAAAATTCCTAAAACTATGTGCAAACCCTAAAATTCCTAAAAATCTGATAAAATTTTGTTGGTGTTCCTAAAAAATTAGAGTTATAGGCTAAATATAAATAAAAAAGCAATAATCTAAAATATAAGAATTTAACTACATTAATTAAAACTGTTTTAATTTTGCCACATGGGAATTCTGATCCTGAGAGAGGTTTTTCGATAAATAAAGCAATGCTTAATGTGAGTCACCATGAGAATACTATTATGTCTCTTAGACTAATCAAAGATACCATTCGAAATTATGGAGGAGTGTTGAAGATCACCACAACACTATTGAGGGCAGTAAAAGAATCTCACAAATCATATCAAGAATATATTAGAAAAATGATCATGATTAATTTGTTTTTCTCTAACTTCTAATATAAATTGCTGATTTGAAATCTAATAATATCACACAATAGTTTTTCTTAATAAAGTAAGGTAAAGGGTAATAATAAAGTTTTGATTAAGAAGGTAAAAATTAAATAAAAATCCAAGTTGGTGTTAATTTATTTTTTCTCTTGATTTATTCTCACTTTTGCCTGTTCCTGAATTATGCACTTAATTTCTGATAGGTAATATGTAAAGTTGAAATTTCATTTTTACACTTTAGAGATTTCATTCTTGACTTAATAAATTTCAGAGCTTTATTTTATGGCTTGCAATTATTTATGATATGTGTGGATGAATTGTAATAATCTTCTGTTATGTAATAAACTACCGTGTGATCTGTTTTTATCCTAGCAAAATCATATATTACCCCTAAAATTTTTTGAAAAAAGTTCCTAAAATTACCCTAAAATTTAAAAAAACTTTGCTGCTACCCCTGCATGTATTTTAAAATTGAATCTGGTTAAGAATTTCCAAAAAAAACTCAAAACAATTTCTAAAATGGTGTGGAAACACTGTTGTCATTTGCTTATTCATTTTTTTAATATTCTAAATGATATAAAATATGTATTTAAATTAAATTTTCACCTTTACAGATACAAATGGCTCACAAAGTATTAAGTAAGGATATGGCATCTTTAATTGAAGCTATGCAACAAGCTCAAAAATATTCAATGACCACTCTAGATAATGATTACCGTAAGGGCATGCTTTCTGCTGCACATATTCTTGCTATGGATGCAAAACACTTGCTGGATGCTGTTGATTCAGTAAGAATACGTCTAAAGTATTCCAAATCTGATTTGTTTGGGGATCATCACTTCACACCAGCTCAGAATGATAAAAACTCTCAGTCATCTCGTAACTCAAGACCTTTGAGTTGTCTAGCATTTCCAAGTTCAAGTGGGTCAACTGCCTCTCATTCTTCTGGTGAAGGAAGCAGATTAAGGCAATCTCGTATTGTTTCTCTTCAATCCACAGATGATTCTGGTTTATCGCTCTCATCTAGAGTATACAATGATGAAAGAAATGACAGTGGTTATGATGTAACATGAAACAAATGCAATTTATAGATTTAAATTGGACTGATTTTTAGTTTAGTATTAACCCATTGTACAGTTTCATTAACCAAATAGCTGTTGATATTCATTTTTTTAAAAACTATTTTAAGTTCTTGTTCTCTATATAAATTCATTTAGTCATTTCATTTTTTTTGTTGTTGCGATTAAACTTTTTCTCTTTAACCTAATTAACACATTTTTTTTTCTTCGTGCAGAATGAATGACATTATCTTAAACTTAAAAGTTTTGTTGATGCATTATTATGATTCACTATTTTATTCCTTAAGTTTTTTTTAATCTAATAAATACATATTGTTGTTCATGCATTAGATTTATTTAATTTCTGATTTAAAACTTGAATTTTTCACTAACTGAGTAGGATATTACAAATGTAATGATTCCTGATCTTAATTCAGACTGTATAGATGGATTTTATAGTTTGATAATTAAAGTTTAGTTTTAGATCACTATTAATATTATTCATTGATGACTCAAGTGATATTTTTATTGAACTTTTGACAGGCTCAATTCAACATTTAAAAGCGTTCTTGTTTTTTAAAAAAAATTCCAGGTTATAATGAAATTAAACTTTCATTGAATATTAACTACCTAATTTTAATGTATACCTTTCCATTACATTTTTAACTTGGTCATATGTACAAAATACATCATATGCATTGGAATTATATAACTTAGAAAACTTATTTTGTCATATGTACATAACATAACAGTTAAATGAGAAATGTTTAATGTTTTTTTTTTACCTAGACTTTGTTTTAACAAATTGAAAGTATCTTTCTAAATAGATTTTTTTTTGTCAAAATAAATCATTATTTCTGTTACACTTTTTAGTTTTATTCCTTGAAGATTAATTTTTTGAAAAGTTTACATAAATTTTTATGAACCCTTTTTTTGTAAGTTATGGTTCTGTATTTAGATCTCTTGAATTTTATTAAATATATACATCTGTTTTTAATGAATGTCTTCCCTAAATATCTTATTGACTTATAATAAACAGATTAAAAAAGTAATTATTGCTTATAAAGATTGTATTCAATAACCTTTGCTCAAACAATGACAATTATATTAAGTCATTAAGAATTCAGCAGAAAAAGATGATTGCAAATTTTTTTTCTCAATTAGTTTGTGAGTGTGGCTGTATATTTGTCAAAGTATGTTAATAATAGTAATAACTATTAATGCACAATAAGTTTAATGTAACAATGATTCATTTTTTACTTTGTGAAAATTAATCGAATATGTTGCAATTTTTTTAGAAAGTATTAGCTTTTACTTTAGTACTTTTAATTTATGCTGAATTGTTTTACATAGCTTAATATCCTAGTGGGTTGCTTACACTACTGGCCACACAGACATAGAATATATGTAAAATAAACATTAAGTAATATGAATAATTTATTTTGGAACAATTATCTCTAATTAAGAATAAAAAGAAACTGAGAAAAAATATTTTCCTTAAGAATCTTTCTTAATAAGGTACTTTCTTCCAAATAAATAAACTAACAGTATTTATAAAAATAATTATATTCTTTTAACTGAAGGTGAAATACTTTGCTTCAAATATAAAAAATACTTCTTAGACAAGGATTCCAAAAACCTATACAATTCCTTAAAATGACAAATCACTATGGGGAATGATTTTTAGGTATGTAACTCTTCATTGTCAAAAATTGGAAATTTTCTCGATGAAAATAAAATTAAAAAAAAATCATGATTATCTTGTTTATCAGGGAAATTGTAAACATCTTAAAGCAAAAAAACCCATTAGGAACATTGTAAAGAATAGGAGAGTATCGTCGAATCAACTTTTGTAAAAATCTTTGATACTTTACAAACTTTTGATGCATAATTTTGTATTCTGATTTTAAACATTTTGGACGCTTAGGTACTTATAATTTGTGATATAAATAAATTGGTCTTTACGTATTGTAAAGATCAATTTTTATATTTCTTAAAACTTTTGTGCAATGTACTGAACAAATATCTCCTCATATTTACTGTTGAATATATTTAGAAGAAACAAAATTATAGTAACTATTAAAAAATTCCCCTACTCTTACTGGGTAAGTTCTTTGGTATGTCTATTAAAATTAACTTAAATTTTCCATTCATGGTGCAGCAGTTTTTTAGTGCCTGATTGTAATATATTTTTGTTATTAATAACTCAATAGAAATATAAAAATGTACGTATTATATTTAAAATATAATCTGTGGTGTTTATATTATTAAGGTTTAGTTTGCATAGAAAGTCTAACCAAAAATAAGCCTAACATAAAATTTTATAATTAATTTGCTTAAATATTAGTTTGCACTAATCAATTATAATATAGCCAAGACTGGTTCTAGCACTTTCGATTTCTATTTAACTAAAAATTTTTGAGCATAATTCGGCTTATTTACTTTATTTTCATGTAGGAAGAAATATCCGACTTAGTCCCTGTTTAACAATTTCATTACAGAAAAGGTAATTGATGTACTATTAAAGTTGTTTTTAAATACAAAATGAGAGCATCTTTTGTTGAATCATTTTTTCATGCCTAGAAGGCTCTATTTTGTTGAAAACTATATATAAATATTTTTTAATGTAGCATTTGTATGCTATTCATCTTGAATCAAAACTTTAAATAAAGTAATTAACAATAGTTTTAAGTGCAGTTTTTCATTTTTTGGAAATAAAAAGCACAAACTTATAATTTTTAAAATGTTTTGTTTTCTAAAAACAAAGGCCAAAACTTAAAAGCTCAACTCAAATGATTTAAGATAATCTTTCTCAAAACATAAAATTTCATATTAATGTGTTTTTGTGATACGTAACTCCATAAAAATTTGAATTATTTAAATGCATAGTTTAATGTGCTATACATATTACATTTTTGTTATGAATATGGCCAATATTGGTAAGTTCAAAGACTGATTCTTTTTTCAAATGAATGTCAGGTGAAGGCAAAGCCAAAAGTTGCTACATGACCTTTGGTACCTGTGAAAAAATCCTTTAAAATTTTCTTAAATAGTCATTAAATTATGTATAATTCTAAATTTCATCAAGAGAAGAATTTTAATATTTATTTAAGTCCTTGTGAGCCATTTTTAACAAGGCATTGGTTTAAAGTAGCCATTGGGCCATTAATATATATATTCTTCTTTAGCAATGGAACTGAATTTTTCTAAGTTTATTTCTTTTGTTTGAAAGTAGGTTGATACGAATAAGTTCAAATTCAAGCCTTTGTCTCATCTCTATTGGATCTTATCTCTATCTTAGGATTTTATTATCTCTATCTTAGTGGAAATGTTTGACAGCCTTGATGTATAAAATGCTTTGTCTTTTGTACAATAAGCACATAGATTAAGGAATATTAAAGATAATTATTTTTACATTGATTGGAAATTTTGAAATTGTTTTACTTTTTTAATTATGTAAATATTAAAAAACGCGTGTTAAACTTAGAAAACTTGAATTATTGACAGATATATTTAAAATTGAGGAGCCATAACTCAAAAACTTCAACTGGCAAATTTGAATTTTACATTATTGTAAATATTATAAGACTTTCAAAATCATTTTAATACCTGATCATAAGATGTTATAGAATGATTGGGGATGTAATTTGAGCTAGAATTTTATAAATATATTCTTTTCAAAGAAATATTAATGTGTAAAGTTGCTTTCTTTCTAAAGAGCTTCAATAATTACATGATCTTTTAAATGCCAAAGATTAAAAGTGTGTTCATGTTAATGAAGTATTATGAAGATAAAGTGTTTTTAATATTTTAAAGGAAAAAAAATATTTTACTATTTTTATCTAAAAACTGAAAATAATTTGTAATGGAATTTTATTAAATTACATAGTTTTTTATTATAGATTAAGAATATGAATGTTATTTATTCTGTATATTATTAGAAATTAAAATGTATATAAAATATTTTATTCTCATGGTACTTTTATGCCAAACAAATTTGAAAGCAGTTATTTTGTAATGTGGTAATAGACTTTATAAGAGCTCAATAGATAGTTTTTTTTTTGAAAACTTTAGTGGTGTATTGAAAAGAAAATTTTTTTTTGGACCTTTTTGCAAACCTTGTAATAGCAATTATTTTTTTACTTTTCCTAAACATTACATGAAAGATATGATGGTTTGTTGTTAAATGCCTCATTTTATAGATATAAAGAGTAAAATTTGTACCTTTTTTTTAAAGATTATCTAAAATAGTTTAGCTTTTTCTTAAATATTTTAGCCTTTAAAAATTACAATTTATACTTTATATTTATAGTAGTATTTTATTCATGCTACATTGAGATGAAGTTAGATTGAAAACATAACATATTTTTTTCTAGCTTCAAATCAGCCTTCAATATTCTTTTCTTAATTATTGTTATAAAATAATGATTGTTTTAGTTTACTTTAATTAAAGTGATTCTCTAGAAATTCACATCTGTGAATCAGTATAATTTTTCCTTGCTAAGTATTCATATTAAATGTGAATTGTTTTTGTTCAAATAATTTAATAAAACATGTTTAGTTTTCTTTTAAAAGCTTAATAATTAAATTTTCTCAAAGTAGTTTTTGAACTTGTTTTTGCCATACTTAGTGTTTTATTGTATTTTGTAAATTAAAACGCAAGTTGTGTAATTTTTAAACTCAATGTATTTTTACATCATAAATTTCAGTTTTCAGTTACAATGGGAGATATCTTTGCTGTGATAATTGTTGTGTGGGTAAATTTTCCTTCTTAATGCCTGCTGAGTATTTGTTGTATCCATTCAAAATGTTATCAAATTCTAGTCTGATCGTGTTTCCTTTGGCAAATGCTAGTAGTATATATATATTTGACAAGAATGCAATGGTTTGTACAATGTTTCTTAGTGTTTTTTTTTAATTAAAATTTTTGTAACAATTTATTACAAAAAAGCCTTTTACCATTTGAAATGGACATTAATGTATTTGCAATAGCTCTAAAATTTAATAAATATTTATTATTTAAATTGTTGGAATATCCTAGTGTTTCCTTGTGTTCTTTGTTTTTTTTCCAGGTAACTTTGAAACTTAATAAAAGAAAATCTAAGCACTAGATTGTCAATTGAAAATAATATTTTGGAACAAATTTTGCTTTCAATCAAATTACCAATTATCAGATATCTTTGATTTGCAAAGATCTCTTGCATCATACAAATGCTTATTGAGATGAACTTGCAAACATCAGATTAAAGAGGGGTATAAATATTTGGTTAGTAGTTTCCAAATTTTTGTAAAGAAATTAACTGAAGAAAAATTTCAATCAAGTTAACAAGTTATAAAAGAATATCCTAGGGTTAATTAAAAATCATTACATATAATGTTAACTTTTTTGCAATTTGAGAAATATAGAGATAAAAAGAGTTGTTTTTGTTCTTATTAATAGCCTTCTTCAACATAGTGTTTATTAAAAAATATACGAGTTTTAAAAAAAAAAATTAGCAATATTCCCTTTAAAGGACATCTCCAAATAAGGGACACCTTTTATTTTATTGCTGGCCCTGATCCCTTTATATAGCCTTAATTTGTTGAGTTTTTAAAGGACTTTATTTAAAAGACACTTTAAAGAAAGAAGAGTTGGGGAAATATAAAATAAAGTTTAAAATACTCTTGTTTGATGTGCTTATCCCACTCTATTGAGGATTTTTGTTCCAAGGTTGAAAAGAACAATACTTTAGAGAAAACTGCATCCTATGGTGCAATCTAGAGAAATTTCGCATTCAACGAATTTTTTTGGAGGTGGTGGAAGTAGGAAGATGTTCAAACCAAGAACTACCTCAGTGATATTTGAGGAACAGATGGGCTATTTGTAGAAAAAGACTGGTAGTAAAACCAATCATTTCCAGATCGTTTTCAAAAAGAATATCTTTGAATACTAAGGTATAATAGTTATTTTCTCTAGAAAGGAACAGTCATATATATGTATTAACTGTTGATAAATCTTATTAGATAAGGTTTTTTACTCTTACCTAAAACAAGATACATATGAAATAGTTTTATTATCAGATTTTCTATCTTTTCCAGGGTACCAGCAGTCTTGGAAGAGTGATCAATGAGTAGAAAAGGTCAGGTGACTGAACCACCCTGTGATAATATGGATTGCTATTTAAAAGAGCATATCAATGTGGATAAAGTGAAAGTTGTTCTTTTTGGGAGAATTGTGAATTTGTATGAATTTTTGTTTCATGCACATGTGTAATTTTAAGTAGTTATTTTTCATTGCTCTAAAAAAGAGATTAACATTAAAAGAAAGTTGATCCAATTAATATAACAGAAATTGATGAGATCATTTTGAAAGGTTTAAGACAGAGATTTGTAATCAGTAGGAATCAAGTAATTAACTTCCTAAAGGATAGACAAGAAATAAAAGAAACTAATTAATTACTAATTCATACAAACTTTATAAAACAGTAAAATTAAAATAAAGCATTTGAAATTGATACAGAAGTGTTCCATTTGTTTTGTTCTATAAGAGTAAAAAATATATCTGTATGGCTCAATATCTTGTATTATTACAAGAAATGTTAAAAGAAGTTTTAGAAAGTGTAGAGCTACAGAACTATTAACATCAAATGGTTGGTAAGATAAACTTAAACAGATAAATCAAATTAGGTACTTTGAAGACTATTTCTAAAGTAGAAATCAAAATGCATGAAACAAGTAGAAGATGGATAAAAAAATGTTAAATGAAATGTATGATTCTGATTTTCTAATTTTTATGTACTTGCTGAATTAGGGACACCTCTAATTAAAGAATAATGCATCTAATCTGGTCTCTTATTAGAAGATAATACTGCAATATTTGTTTTTTAAGTTGTTCTTTTAACTAAGATACAGTTTAATTTCAATATTTCTTGTGCACTTGGTATAAATTTTTTTTCTTCTAGAATTGTATTGCTAATACAATTCTAAGGTCCTTGACCTTCATTTTTTCAACAAAATTTCGCTATCTGAGACTTTTTTTCACCAAGAAATACTTTCTTGAATATCATTTCTTAAACACTTCTGGATTTAAATTAGGAAACATTTCTTGTAACTATACTAAGAAAGGAAACCAAAAGTTAGAAAAAAAAATATTAACATCTTTGCAATATTAAGCAAATTATTTGCAATACCAAGCAAATTATTCAAGTAACTTATAAGATATGAACCAGTCATTACACAGAATAACTCCCACTTTTTGAAACTTCTTACATTTAAGTGGGAAACTATTTAGTTGATCTAGTTACTTATAAGTTTGTTATCTTAGCAAACTTAGTTTGATTTATTAAAAAAGTGGTTTAATACTAATTTAAAATACTTGAAAAGTGACTAATTTGTGCAGTGTATATATGTATGTGGTCTGTCATGTGGTTGTGTTTGGAAGTTCTATGCCTATCTTATCAGATGCCATTTGCAAATAAGACTATAAAGTAACCTTAATATTGAGTGTTGAAAGTGTAGCTATGTGCCAGGAGTGAGGGAAATTAAGTTTTATTTTGTCTTGCTGTATATTCTCCATTGATGAAAAAATTTAGAATTCCTCCCAGCTCTGTCTGTAATTTTAAAAACTAATGGTATCATGTAAAGCATTACTAACTCAGGAAACTGAAGTAAATAAAATCTGGAATACAGATTTAAAATGTAGACATAAAATGTTTAAAAATGTGTATTACTTAATGTACCTCTAGGGAGAACATCTTAAAAAGGTAAAATTTTTGCTTTAAAATCAAGCATTGTATGGTTTGAAAATTCTTAGAGAAATAATGAATCTTTTTTCTGAAAATATGCAGGTGTTGTTACCAGAGATGTTTTGTAAAAAAGTAAGGGTATATTGTAAATGATCATGAAAGTAAGAGTATTTTTAATTCTGAAAAAAGGGTAATTTCTAAATTTGTCTCCTAAAACAGTGGTTGTTTAAGGTAAATTCAAAAAATAATGCATAAGGTAAAAAATAAAATAAAGGCATAATAGTTATTTTCTTTAGAAAGAAGCAGTCATATATATGTATTAACTGTTAATAAATCTTATTAGATAAGGGTTTTTACTCTCACCTAAAACAAGATACCTATAAAATAGTTTTATTACTAGATTTTTTATCTTTTCCAGGGTACCAGCTGTCTTGGAAGAGTGAACAATTAGTAGAAAAGGTCAGGTGACTAAACCATCCAGTGATAATATGGATTGCTATTTAAAGGAGCATATCAATGTGGATAGAGTGGAAGTTGTTCTTTTGGTGGAACTGTGAATTTGTATGACTTGTTGCTTCATGCACATGTGTTATTTTAACTAGTTATTTTTCATTGTCCAAAGAAAAAGAAATTAACATTAAAAAAATTTGACCCAATTAATATAGCAGAAATTGATAAGATCAATTTGAAAGATTTAAGATAAAGATTTGTAATCAGTGGGAATCAAGTAATTAACTTCCTAAAGGAAAGACAAGAAATAAAAGAAACTAAAAAATTACTGATTCATGTAAACATTTTTAAAACAGCAAAAAAAAAAAAAGCATTTGAAATTGATACTGAAGTGTTCCATCTGTCTTGTTCTATAAGAGTAAAAAATATATCTGTATGGCTCAATATCTTGTATTATTACAAGAAATGTTAAAAGAAGTTTTAGAAAGTGTAGATAAACTTAAACAGATAAATCAAATTAGGTGCTTTGAAGACTATTTCTAAAGTAAAAATAAAAATGCATGAAACAAGTAGAAGATGGATAAAAAATGTTAAATGAAATGTGTGATTCTGATTTTCAAATTTTTATGTACTCTCTGAATTAGGGACACCTCTAATTAAAGAATAAAGCATATAATCTGATCTCTTATTAGAAGGTAATACTGCAACATTTGTTTTTTAGTTGTTCTTTTAATTAAGATACAGTTTAACTTCAATATTCCTTGTGCACTTGGCATAAATTTTTTTTTCTAGAATTGTATTGCTAATACAATTCTAAGGTCCTAGAGCTTCATTTTTTCAACAAAATTTTGCTATCTGAAACTTTTTTTTCACCAAGAAATACTTTCTTAAATATCATTTCTTAAACACTTCTGGATTTAAATTAGGAAATATTTCTTGTAACTATACTAAGAAAGGGAACCAAAAGTTAGAAAAAAAATATTAACATCTTTGAAAGCAAGTTATTCAAGTAACTTATAAGATATGAACCAGTCATTACACAGAATAACTCCCACTTTTTGAAACTTCTTACATTTAAGTGGGAAACTATTTAGTTGATCTAGTTACTTATAAGTTTGTTATCTTAGCAAACTTAGTTTGATTTATAAAAAAAGTGGTTTAATACCAATTTAAAATACTTGAAAAGTGACTAATTTGTGCAGTGTATATATGTATGTGATCTGTCATGTGGGTTGTATTTGGAAGTTCTATGCCTATCTTATCAGATGACACTTGCAATTAAGACTATAAAGTAACCTTAATATTGTGTGTTGAAATTCTAGCTATGTGCCAGGAGTGGGGGAAGTTTTATTTTGTCTTTGTTGTATATTCTCTATTGATGAGAAAATTTTGAATTCCTCCCAGCTCTGTCTGTAATTTTAAAAACTAATGGTATCGTGAAAAGCATTACTAACTCAGGAAACTGAAGTAAATAAAATCCGGAATACAGATTTAAAATGTAGACATAAAATGTTTAAAAATGTGTATTACTTAATGTATCTCTAGGGAGAACATTTTAAAAAGTTAAAATTTTTGCTTTAAAATCAAGCATTGTATTTTTTGAGAATTCTTAAAGAAATAATGAATCTTTTTTTTGAAAATATGCAGGTGTTGTTACCAGAGATGTTTTGTAAAAAAGTAAGATTATATTGCAAATGATCATGAAAGTAAGAGTATTTTTAATTCTGAAAAAAGGGTAATTTGTTAGTTTGTCTCCTGAAGCAGTGGTTGTTTAAAGTAAATTAAAAAAATAAAGCAAAAAACATCTGATTTTGTTACTGAGTGGATGATTCAGAAAGTACTAGCTAGGG